CTGCACACACGACAAACGATTTACGTGGTTCACTAACACAATGAGTGTTAGCTAGTTCACGGGCATGAGAGAATTTTCATAATACTTCGAGGAGATACAGATTACAGAGGATTATGAGAAGTATTTATAGTACTTCACCTAGGTTTAACCCTAATCCAATCTGGTAAAGGAAAAGTGGTTATAACCAGGCCCAATACATGGACCCAAATAACATTGACTCCCCTATGACTTCCAATCGTAGCGGTTGATAGTCCGATTCAAGTCACATGAATAAATCTCCACCTTGACTTGAATCCTCTACCTCTGAAATCTATGATGTACTCTTATCCTTCTCTCCATCTTGCCATCAATGCCCCGTAGGGAGGATTCACCCACTCAATACATTCATCAAGTTCAAGTAGGATTATCAGCGGTGCCAACCTTCTTCATCTTAATACTCTTCTCTGCCCTCAAGAAATGTACCTCACATCAATGTGCTTAGTCCTCTCATGATGGACTTGATCCTTGGCCAACCATATTGGACTCAAACTGTCACAATACACTAATGCATGATCATGATGTCGACTCAGATAACCAACCAGTCTCTTCAACCATATTCCCTCCTTAGCAGCTTCTGTCAGTGCCATGTACTCTGATTCCGTAGTAGACAATGTCATTGTCGACTATAGAGTTTCCTTCCAGCTCACTACAGAACTCCCAAGAGTGAATACATAACCGGCCATCGATCTCCTTGTGTCAACATCTCTAGCATAGTTAGAATATGAATAAACAGCCACTAAGCACTCTGTATCACTTTTGAAGCTAATCCCCACATCATACGTACCCTTAAGATATTAGAAGATCATCTTCACAGCCTGCCAATGCTCCTTCCCAAGTTGTATCATGAACCTGCTGACAACACTAACATCATTTGCAAGATTAGGTATAGTGCATATTATAGCGTACATCAAACTACCAACTACACTAGTATATGGGACTATCGACATGGAGTCCTTCTCAGCCTCTGAATATGGTGCATAAACTGAGGATAAATGAACATTCGAAGCACTAGGAGTCGTCAAGGGCGTTGTTGAAGACATGCTAAACCTGGACAGTATCTTCTGGATGTAGCTCTTCTGTGACAAGAAATGCTTCTTCTTCTCTCTATCCCTATAAATCTCCATATCCAAAATCTTCTAACCAGCTCCCAAATCCTTCATCTCAAACTCAGCATTGAGAAACCCCTTTAACCTCTGGATATTATATTTCGACCTCGCAGCTATGAGCATATCACCCGCACACATAACCAGATATATCATCGAACCATCCGTTGCCTTGTTGTGATATACACAACAATCATAATGAATATTGTTGTAGCCTAGCTCAAGCATGTAACTGTTAAACCTCTTGTACCACTTCATCGGAGATTGCTCAAGTCCATACAAGGACTTCTTCAGCTTACAAACATAGTCTTCTTTTCCTGGAACCTGAAATCCTTCTAGTTGAGTCATGTAAATTTCTTCCTCCAACTCTCCATGTAGGAAAGCTATCTTCACATCTAGCTACTCGAGCACCAAGTCATAATGTGCCACTATTGCTACTTTTCTAGTAGCACCTTGATCGAAGTATGTCTGATCACTAGTGAGAAAATCTCATTGTGGTCAACTCCTTCCTTCTGCGAGAAACCTCTTGCAACTACCCGAGCTTTTAATTTCATGCCCTCTTTGGAAGTGATTCCTTCCTTCTTCTTTTAGATTCACTTGTTGTAACAATCTTCCTTCACTGTGGATGTTTGACCAACTCCCAAGTTAGATTCCTTTCATGGGATTCCATCTCGTCCCTCATTGCAGCAAGCCACTGAGCAGCTTCGCTACACGAAACTGCTTCTCTGTAGGACTGTGGTTCACTCGCATCCACTTATTCAGTCACCTAAAAAGCATAATCCACCATGTTCTTGAAGCCATACCTCTGTGGAGGTACTCATGTATTCCCTCTCTTTGGTCTACCGGAAGCTATAGACGATTTAGTTCCTACACTAGACTATGAAGTTTCTGGCTCATCAGAAACATCCTCATGTTGATCTTCTCCACCTTGGTGCTCAAACTTACTCTCTTTGAGAGTTTGTAGCTCCACTTGTTTATCAACATTCCTGCTATCTCCAACAACAGTAACCTTCAACTTGGGGTTAACCATAGACTTCTCATAAAATATCACATTCCTGCTAAGTATAACTCTATGCTCAGAAGATGAACAGACTCGAAATCCCTTAACTCCATCTCCAAAACCTATAAACACACCCTTCATTGTTCATGGATTCAACTTACCCTCATCCACATGATAGTAAACAGGACACCCAAAAATTTTCAATGAAGAATAATAAGCAGGCTTAACGTACCGCACCTCATAAGGAGTTTTAAACTAGATACCTGTGTGAGGTCCACGGTTGATGAGGTAGCACGTCATGTTTACTGCTTCTTCTCATAATCTTCTCTCCAATTATCATTAGAGAACATGCACCTTGCTCTCTCCAACAATGTCTGGTTCATCCTTTCTGCAATGCCATTATGTTGTGGTGTGTCTCTAACAATCCTATGACAGGCAATCCCTTCATCCATGCAGAATTTGTTGAACTCAAAACTATAGAACTCCAGACCATTGCCCGTTTGAAGTCTCTTGATATCTTTCCCGGTCTGATTCTCCACCAAAGCCTTCCACTGCTTGAACTTCATGAAGGCTTCACTTTTATGCTTCATCGTGAAAATCGAAGTAAATCTTGAGTAATCATCAATAATAGATAGAAAATACATGCTGCCTCCAATGGATTCAACTCGTGAAGGACCCCAATAGTCGGAGTGGAGGTAATCCAGTATCCCCTTAGTTTGATGGATACCTTTGTTAGGAAACTTGCTGCGGTGTAGCTTCCCAAACACATAATGCTCATAGAATTCCAAATTTTGCACCTTGTGCCCGGAAAGAAGATATCTCTTCAACAAAACTTGCATCCCCCGTTCACTTATATGACCCAATCTCATGTGCCAGACAGTTCTCATATCTTCCTGATGAACTTGAGACGATGCAACAACAGCAGAACCTGACAACACAGACCACAAGGTCCCAGGCTTCACGCCTTTCAGCACCTCTCTCGAACCTTTGCAGACATACACAACTCCACCTCTTCCTTTTAAATTGAGACCGTTGCTATTGAGTATACTCTAGGAAATCAGATTCTTCGTCTTGTGGAACATGCCCGACTTCGTTCGCGGTACATAATGAACCTTCATGAGTTTGAATCTTGATAGACTCGATTCCAACCACCTTGCCTACAGCTCCATTAGCCATAACCACGTTACCACCATCTATATGATCATAGGTTGAGAAGCAATCCTTATTCAGAGACATATGATTGAGAAACCACACATCACCACGATGTTCCTTCTCATCTACAGCCAAGGCGAGATCGTCTTCTGGACCGTTGTCCACTTCTGCCATGACAACAAAACCTTGATTCTTCTGATGCCCTCTCTTTCTAGAACTCTTGGTTGTGGACCGTGACCCTTAAAATTCAAGTTTCTTTTCGAATTATCTTTACCATATTTCTTCATTTCCTTTCCACCTGTACCAGATCCATACACCTTATGCCTAATCTTTCTAGTGTTAAGAGCATATCAGATATCTTCCAATGACAACCTATTTTTACCAGCAATAACAGAATCCACAAAATTCTTATATGAACTCGACAAAGAAACAAACAGGATTAGGGCAACACCTTCATCATCAACTTTCACATCTAAATTGCGTAAATCTAACAAAATAGGATTAAGTTGTTCAGAATGTTCCCTCAAAGGCGTACCTTCTTGCATCCTCAAGCTAAACAACCGTTGCTTGAGATGTCGCTTGTTGTTTAAGGACTTCGTCATATACATACTCTCTAGCTTCAACCACAAGCCCGCGGCAGTCTTCTCAATAGCGACTTCAATGATGACATCATCAGACAATGATAGCATGATGGTTGAGTGGTCCTTCTCCTCCAGGGTATTCCACTCATCGTCATCAACCGTTGCCTTCTCCCCCTTGTTGTTTCAATAAAGCATGCATCTTGATCTGCCATATATCGAAACGATTCTTCCCCGTGAAATTTTCGATCTTCATGTTTACCAACGTTATTCTTCAGAGTCGAAACCCTAGCATGATTTCCAACCGGTGCTCTAATACCACTTGTCATGACTGTTTTTCTACGTATCGGGAAATTGGATGATTCGACAATGCAAGAAAAATGAAAGCACATAGATACGACACACGATTTACGTGGTTCACTAACACAATGTGTGTTAGCTAGTCCACGGCCAGGAGAGAGCCAGTTTTACTATACTTCAAGGAGATACAGATTACAGAGGAGTATGAGAAGTATTTATAGTACTTCTCTTAGGTCTAACCCTAATCCAATATGGTAAAAGAAAAGCAATCACAACCAAGCCCAGAATATGGACCCAAATAACATTGAGCCCCCCGTGACTTCCAGTCATTGCGGCTGATAGTCCAATTCAAGTCACATCAACACTTTGGTTATTAGCTGCCTAGCCTTCTTTCTTTCCATTTCAGGAACCCCCTTCTTTGTTTCCATATCCTAGTCGGCTCCTTCCTCAACTTCAACGTCTTTTCCTCAGGAGTTGTTTGCTAATAGCTTGTGTGGAAGACATCAAGCTCTCTTATGGTAAGGTGGAAGGTGGTGGACCAAGAAACATGTATGAATTTTGTTAAAAAATACATAAATATAGGCATATAAATTACAATAATGCATATGGCATTGGAACTACCACAAAATACATACATGTATTGGTTTATCTCTTATTGGTATTGGTTAATTGCGTTATACTATTGATATGATTCTAGACTTACTAAGCAACACAATTAAACATGCAACAAGCTAAGTCAAAAGTTGCCTAAGAGAGTAGTAATTCGTATGAGATACAATTGTTAGCATTGTGTCGGGTTTCGCAACTTGATTCGGGTTCAATTGTACATATTTTACTCCTCATTTCTTGATAGGTTTTCTTTTCATTTCATAGTCTCTCGACCTATTGTACACTAGGTTGTGCTTGTTTTGCTATGTTTCAGGTGCTAGCACGTGTGAGAAGGTCAAGGACAAGTTTCGAGACGATTGAAGGTCGAAAAGTGCCAAAATGTGAAGAAAAGTCCAACATCACGGTCTGGCGACCGTGACAATTGCATGAAGACCATGAAGTGCAAGGCGACCAAGAAGGTGTTTCCATCTCGCGAGCCTAAATGACATCACGGTCACCCAACCGTGATATCCAGCTCCAAACTGTGAAGAGCTGGAGTGAACGTTGCGTGTTTGTCCAAGTTCACGGTCCAAGTTTTGAGTTCACATTTGTGAACTGAGACCGTGAACAACCGTCGATTTGGGTATGAAAGGGGAAGTGAGTTGAAAGAGAAAGGAGGTTGGATCTTGGGTTGGTTTGAGATTTTCTGGGTTTCCTTCTCGGGTTCCAGCTGAAGAAACCCCAAGGGAGAATCCCTAGTGAGAAAATGGTCCTCTTCTTTATATTCTAGAGAGAGAAAGTGACCAACAAGAAGAGAAGAAGAGGATTTGGGCTTACTTCAAGCTAGAGGAGTGAAGATTCTTACCTCTCAAGAAAGTTCTCATCAACAAGAAGGGAAGACAAGCATCCACCATGGTTCTTTCTCTCTTCTTTGTTGTTTTCCCCTGCCTAGCCATGGAGTAGTGTTCTCTTCACTTGGGTATTATGAACCTAGCTTATTGTAGGTAATAGATTGTATTAATTGAATGCTTTGTGCGTGAGTTTGTGTTTAATGTAAAGTTGAGGTATTTTCATGATGTTTGGGTGGTGTTCTTCATTTCTCATTAATATGTCAATTTGACCTAGGTAGAGGGAAACCTCCTCTTTGTTAAAAAGCTTTGATAAGCTGGATTTCTTGACCAATTGAGCCACCTACCTAGGACGAATTAGGACAAACCTCAAACTTCAATTTAACACTTTAACCTGGGTGTTATTTTGCCGTCCGGATTAAGTTCCGAGGGATTGGTTCTTGCAACCCTTAGTTGATCGGTTAAGAGAACTAGGACTCCTAGCCTATTGTTGCAATCCTTGGTTAAGAGAGCTAGACTTCCTAGTTTATTGTAGCCATCCTGAATCCATTGATTGAGAGAGCTAAGGTTCCTAGCTTAATTTTTTTTACTTAACTGATTGATTAAGAGAGTGAGGTTTCCTTCACTTGTTGTTGCGCCCTCCTAAGGGTGTATGAACACACCTTCACACATTTGCATTCGATTTGGTCGATCCTCTGATATGTAGCTAGGGGGAGCAATACCCGGGTGAATTCTTCTCACATTAGGACAACCTCGATTTACTTTACTGGTTTGTTTATTTTATAGTTTTCTTAGTTTTAAACCCAACATGTCTGCTAAATAACAACTTAAGCGATTGAAGTAGGAATACATGGACGGGTCCGAGTTTGACTATTAAAACATACTTGCTCTATATTACACCCGTTAACGTTTATACTTGAGTATTAATTGGGGGGTTTTATTGTGATATTCGGGACAAACATCTCGTATATTGCTTTATGTATAATCTTATAGTATAGAAAAATTAACATATAATAGTACTCATTGACGAAGCTTAGAATTCCCAATCGAACATCCAACATACACACAACAAACACCAATTAATTAGAGACTAATAGTTAAATACGTACGTATAGGTAACTATAGCAACCCACCAACGTTAAGAGTAGAGATGGTGAGCCCACAACCACAATTATTATATTATATTAATTAAGAAAGCCCGGCCCGCCAAACTAATGAACCAAGAACTATCCAGTCATGTAAATCTGAGAGACTTGGGCCTCAATGACCGAGTTGTGAGTGATGTAGTAACGATCCAGCATGAGATACGGCGTCAGCTCCATCCCGGCATAGTAGAGCCTGAACTCGTGGGTGTGCAGCCCCCAAGCGCGGCCGACCAGCTGCATCAGCTCCCAGCACGTGATGCTCTCCGACGGGCACTGGATCTCCGCCGGCCGCATCCGCCTGAAGTAGCCGGCCATGTGGGGAGGAGGGAGCTCCTCCGACTGCGTCACGGTGACCGCGATGGGACCCGCACGAGGAGCGACGGCGAGATGGAAGACGATGTGGGTGTGGGGGCTGGCGAAGCGGAGGTTGTTCCCCGCGTGGACGATGAGGTGGAGCAGAACGCTGTCGTCCGTGAGGCCGACGCCCGGCCGGGTCAGGAGGGACACGCTCAGCCTGGAGAGGGATATCCCGTACGTGTTGTGGAAGAGCAGCTTCACGTCCAGGATCGTTGCCGTCGCCGGGAGCAGGAAGCACGGCGCAAAGTGGCCGCCCACCAGCTTCACTTGGAGCTCCGCTGCTACCGCTATTCTGCCGGGGGGCGCCGCCATCGATGTCTTGTTTTGTAACGTGTGGTTAATTAGGTGTGGATACGATCAATACTAATTGTGTGGGTTGAATTTCTAGATAGCTAGCTAGTCGACTCCAGAAACTTAAATAAGATTCAAGAAAGCATGCAGATCGAGCACATATGGTGCCAAGTCAACTAGTCAAGTCATGCGGAAAGTGGGAATGTGATCAATCTGTATTCACCGTTTAAGTATGAGCCATTTCAGTTGCCCAATGATATTATCGTTTCAGCATAGTTATTTTGCTAACTTAAGATTCATTAGTATATATTAATTAATGTCCAAAATGTATGAACTAATATCTAAATCTGCTGAATATCTAGATAGCACAGACTAGTGTTCAAAACATCACAAAACTAGTATCCAGATAGCATATACCAACTAATATCCACAATCAACCAACTAGTATTCAATATGGATACTCTTATGTGTTATCTGGATACTAATTATGTGTTGTTTGGATACTATTATGTGTTGTATGAATACTATTCTGTGTTGTCTAGATATTAGTTTGTGAATTTTGGATAATAGTTGATTCATTGTGGATATCAGTTAGCAAACCTTGAATACTAGTCTGTGCTCTATAGATACTTTAGTACATGGATACTAGTTCATGTATTTTGGATATCAGTTAGTATCTGCTAACGAATCTTCAAGTTAGCATATTAACTTTCCCCCGTTTTGCCAGTGTTTAATTTCTTTCTACGGTTCGATCGCTTCGACTATATAAAACTTCTTTCATTCACAATGTTGACAAGTGTAATAGTAGACATGAAAACGTTTTTTCTTTTCTTTTCTTTTACTAATTTTTAATCCAATGGTATCTCCTTTCTTCTGATTTTCATTTCTTAAAATAATTATAAACTTAATATATTTCAAATGGTAATGACGGGTATACTCCAGGGAGTATCCCATACTCCACGTGATTTGACCGTTAGATGCATTTCGATGACCTCTGACCAATCTCAACGGTCAATTATTATTTTCAATTAAATTGAACTTCGGTTTTGAGTTTAGATAATCAAGGTTGGGGGTTTATCCGTTCCGGATTAGGGTATAGTATCATACCCTAAACTCGGTTTGATTCATGGCCTAGGTAGAGATATCTCACTACGAGTACCTGGAGTATTGGTAGCTTAATTTTTTTTTATTATGACACTTTTGTACCTAAACTTTCTAAATTTTACATATTGGTCTAACATTTAGATGTCACTTGGATCCATGATTTAATCCCTTAATCAAAAATCACTGGGGGAAAAACCACCAATCCATGAATCCAATCTATTTGTCGCATCTAATCATCATGCATAATCTCAGTCATGTTCCACGAAATATTGTGGTAAAATGTCTCGATTAACGTGTTCTTATGGGAATGACTGTTAGAGAGTGGTACAAGATTCAGCATAATCTTCTCCCAACAACTCGAATTATTGGAAGCAACTGGTTCATGACATGATATCAGAGCTGGTTTGGCCAAGTGGTCGTATATTCGAATCTCCCTGACCTCCAATATTAACAGTTGTCTTCAAGCACAGGTATAGTGGACATGTGCAAACTTCAAGCCCATGAGTCGGCTTTCGTTTGAGGGGGCGTGTTATAGAGTGGTATATGATCCAGTATAACCTTCTCCCAATAACTCGAGTTATTGGGAGCAACTGGTTCATGACAATGACAGGATACAAAATCATATCCAACAAACTCACTACAAAACCTCATAACCCACCTTCACCCCATTCCCCATCTATTGATCCAGATTGATTCGTAACGAAAAGAAACTAATAGTGGTGAACAGATAATTCTGCCACCATGTTCCCATTGTTTTTCCTTTTCAGCACTGACAGTCTACATAGATTCCAGAGGAGAGAGAAAACATTTTTTCTAATCCCTTGTTTTTATAAGCGGATTCTATAGCATTTGTTTTAAGTCAAAATTTTAAAAAAATCACATAGAAAGAACGCATTAATTATGATGTACACAACGATATCCATTTTGCTATATTTTTACCAAAAAAAATTAAAATTTTCAAAATTAGTTGCATTTGTGGTATTATCACTGTCATATCTATCATATAATCATGATATGACAGTCGCGTATTATGACACATCTAATTTATTTTAACTTAAAATTTAAAATAAAATTGTATAGAATGAACACATTAATTAACATCTACACAATGCTACCCATTTTGTATGTAATTTTGTCAAACATAAGACCTTATATCAATATCATATTATTGTCGTATCTTGATATATATTATCAATGTAACATCTTGATAATATCATGATGTAACACATTGATATGATGTTATCAAATTATTTTGTCCAATGTAAGACCTCATACCAACATCATATCATCGCTCGTCATCATTAATTAATATCTGCATAATTATATTCATTTTGTTATGATTTGTCAAACAGAAGATCTCATACCAATATCATATCAAATTATTAGTATGATATTGTGATAATATCATGATATTACCACTATGATATCATATCACTGTCAATGATAATATCGTTATATGAGTATGACAGTGGTATGATGACCTGAAATTTTTTTGTTCCAAAAAAAATATTAAAAATCGGTAGCATCTTGTATAACACAAAAATCTTATTTTTCTATGCAAATTTTTTTGAAATTCGATGTAAAAAGAATGACGTAGGATCCGTTGAATTTTGTAAGAGATTTGAAAAAGGTTTAACTGCCACCTAAGAATATGCGCTAGTCTCTTAAAATCTTATCAGCTGCCACTCAAATTTGGTCAGCCTCTCTCCCCTTTACCCCTACAAAGATGGTCATTGGATATATTCTCTCTCAATGTTTAACCATTCATATAGGTTTGTAGGACTAAAAAGTTATTTGGTTTCGTACCCTAATCCAAGCCCTTTCTTTATTTAAACACGGGCAAAACACGGGAAGAGGAAAACACGGGCAAGTCTGGAGAAGAACACGATCGTGTTCCACCTTGAACACGATCGTATTTCCTGGAAGCGACCGTGGAAGTATCCGCCCCAGTTTAAATTTTCCACGTGACCTGGTCAAAACATGGGCGGACACGGGGAGAACACGACCGTGTTTCCGACCGTGTTTCACGCAGTGTTGGGTTAAACAGGCGGATTCGAGCTAAAGAGGGGGGTCGACATTTTAGAGCAAAAACTGAGTTCTGGAGAGAGAAAGTGTCAAAGAACAAACGCTATGAGCTATTTGGAGTGGATTTCTCACCATTGAAACCCGGATTGCGTCTCTAGAAGTGAAGATTGACATCCCAACGCAGATTATTCCCATCTTTATGAGTATGACTGCTTTGATTTTTGTTTTCCTCTCTCTATGGAGTAAACCTTTCTCTCACTTGGGTATGAAGAACCCTAGTACCATGTGTTAGAAATCTTGATTGTAATGACTTTTGGGATGTTATACTGGATTATTTTAATCGATTGAGGCATGTTTATTGAGACAATTGAATCATGATAAAGTTCTCTTGACTTCTGCTATAATCTATGATAGATAGAATATGATTAGGTTATAAGAGCTTCTTTAATTGATAGTAGTGAATTAATTGTACGAGAGTCAGTCAATTCACTGGTTTGTACTGGAATTCGTTCCAAGTAAAGGGGATATGTGTGAATCGACTTAGCAGTCTATCCCGGTGAAGGCTAGTCGCCTGTCAGGTATTCAGTGGAAGAGGGTTTGGTCAGTTTAAGAGATTCCAATTTATTTATGGATCTTCCGTAGCCTAATCAACAGTAAAACAACCAAAAGGAATTACAACTTGAACCTAACTGAGGAGCTAGGGAGATTCAATCCCGAGTGACTCTTCTCTTGCTTAAGAAAAACCAAACTACTTGTTGCTTTCTTTCTACTTTTGTTTAACTTCTCTCTCACTCAACTTTCCTTGCTAGATAATATATAATCACAGAGTAGGCAGTACATCTAGGCCCCGGGTTGATAAGTAAAACTTATTCTGTATTTCCATTCTACGATTATACTTGGTCGTAGTTTGGTGTTGTGTTTTAGCGAGTCGCCTATAATGCAAAAGGATAAATATGTCGGTTTGTGGGAAACGAAGTGCAGGAGTCACTAATGTGGGGACTAGCTCAATGGTCATGCAACTAGTCCCCCTCCTAACTCGATCCGCTTACTCAATGTCACCTCGATCAGGTTCACGAACTAGGGATAGTGTCTATTCACTTTCAATATGTTGCACCTATTTTCACACTAGTTTGATATGTCAATGGTCACACACATATCACCCTAGCATTACCCTAGGTGGGCATTCCAACTGGCAGGGGATGGTCATATCGACCACCAATTGGGACCCTAGATCATTCATCTATAGTAACATGCCAAACTGCTCAAATCGACAACTATCTCATGCAAACCCTAACTAGTGATCAATCATGAAAAGCATACGAAGAGACAGGTTCAAAGCATAATCAACATAAGTAAATGCATATAAACACTAGGTAAACTCATTTCAGGAGGACATGCAAGTTCGTGGTTGAGGGCTAGGAGATCGCAGGCATGAACTTCGGATGTGAAATGGCAATCTTGAAACACACCATTTTTGCTCTAGCAGGCTTGGGAGTTCGCGGCCTGACTTCACAATCGCGATCTGTAAGTCTCAGTCGAGATCTTTCTCGCAGTCTTGGATAACTAAGGCTGCGAGTGGACTATCGAAACTCTATGTCCATTCCTTGGTGACTGCTTCATCAAATTCACGGCTGACACTCCCAGATCACATACGCGATCTTTTGTCCAGTGGTCGGGATCACTTTATGCCTCTTCTTCTCGGTCGTGATCTCCTTGTTTTGCTCATTTTCCTAAAATTGTGACCTCTTTTGTGCCTAAAATGCAAGTATCATCTAATACACCCTAAAATTACATATATTACTTCTAGAAACAGATTCGGGATGCATTGATGAAATATTAACCATTGTGACCATATAACGACCTGAAAAGACCTAAAATATAGAGGCTAAATAACACCATTTTGGGTGTTATCAACCGTACTACCAAGGTTGTCAACCCACTAGTCGACCCACTACAAGGTTACCGGGTTGGAGGTTACACGACATCGTTTTTCTTTGCGCTGCGAAATGATGCCGCTCTTTTCGGTTTTCCTTTTCGCCTAGCTCTATTTTGGAATTATAAGTTGAACATCTGAATATTGATGTTTTATAAGTGTGTGTGAATTCTAACTATATGTTGGATCCAAGTACGATCCATTATTTTGGTGTAATGTTATATGTTATTGATTTGATATAATTGGTAAATGTATGAACAATATGTAGACTTTTTTTATATATTAGTACAAAACCAATTTAAAAAGGTCGAACTATTAACTCTCAACCCGCTTTCTCAAGCGAGTATAGATAAGTCGAACTACCTTGGGTACTACTTTGAATTTAACCTTGTGTTTCGTACGTAAATAAGACGAAAAGGAGGCTGTGTGGGGCAATTGCTGAATTGACTCGTCATCAAAGCGGATGTCAACGTAAATCAAAGGCTACAATCAAATCACAGATTAACCCCATCTAACGGCGCATATCGACACCCTCCAATTCCAAAGCGGAAATTCTTGGGAGATTAAAAGCGAACTAAAAACCAGCCAATCCTCCGTATCGTTCATTTCATAGCAGGCAGAATAGCAACAAAAGCGAGAGAGAGTTGTGTCAAATTCCTCCCGTCCCGTCAAATGGCGTCGACTTCAAGGCATGTTTCGGTCGTCTTCCTCCTTCTCGCCGTCCTGATCGGGTTCCTCTCCGCCTCCGTCTCCGCCGGAAGGCCCTGTAAGACTCTCTTCATCTCCTCCTACACCGTCTCCCTCAAGCCTCTCCACTCCTTCCGCTACCCTAACCCTAATTTCGGCCGTCGCTCGGCGGGATTCGTGGCAATCGTCACCGAAATCGGCCACCAGAGCTCCTCGGAGTCCTCGTCCAACATGATCAGCGACCGCGCCGTCTTCCCTGGCCTCGAATTCGGGAATCACGTCAGCCACCGGCGGGAGCGGCAGCAAGAGGATCAGCTGGGCTTCGCCCGTCTCCTCCCCTTCGGGCTTTCATCCCACGAAATCAGCTCCCTCCGAGACCGTACTAAGGATATCCTAAGCGTGGTTGTGGCTCTGCTCTTTGGCGTGGGCTGTGGAGCTCTCACTGCGGCCACCATGTACCTGGTCTGGTCGCTCTTTGCCGTCCGCTCTGCTGCCTACTACGACGAATTGTACGACGATGATGAGGAAGAGGAAGAAGATGGGTCGCCTAAGAAGATGGGTTATGTTAAAATCCCCGAAGCTGAGAAAGTGGCTGCCCCTGCTAAAGCTGTGGTATGATTATGAAGAAACAACAACAACAACAACAACAACGGGGGTGTTTCTGTTTCCCATATGTTTCAAGTAATTTGCAGTCTTGCTAGAATGATCTTCGAGCGTATTTCTGTTTCCCATCAGCTTTTATATATTATATGTTAAAATCTATCTATGCCTTGTCACTAATGTTTTCTATCAGCCATTCTCTCTGTTGCTGCTGCTGATAGATAGAAAGATGGAACCTACTTGTGACATTTACTGCCATTGTCATGAATGTTAATTTCTGTTTGTTTTGCTGATCTGTTACTCTGAATCTGATTCCCCATTTTGTCTAGCTTCCTCTTGGACTGAGGCCTTTAGATTGAGTGAGTTAGCATGGTTGCAGTGGTTATCATTTCAGTCTCCGGTAATTTGATTTCTCTGTAGAGCATGTATGGGATCGGAATGAGTATTGGGCTGATGCGCATTGGTAAGAATGTTTTGCATTTCTTTCTTCCCTCAAGATGGCTTGGCTTGACTTGACTTGACTTGACTTGAGTTCAGGGACTCTTCAAATGTGTATGGTGAATGTGTTTTTCTTTGTTCAAATTGTGAACGTTTAACTTGTGTTAATTTTGATTGAGTGAGGTAGTTGATTCGAGGAGTTCTTCTGTCTGTTATCCAGAAATAAGCATTAGGAGGAAGATAGATTTGGCCCCCCCTGGCTGTGAGCGAGCGGGCATCTGGATTTTGCTTGCGTACAAGGATCATCGTGCCCTGCAAGAACGGCCACAGCCTTGTTGTCGTGTTTTACTGTCTGTCATTTCTTTGATCTTGTTCACAGTTTTTGCAGAATGAATGAATGGATCATTGTCTTGCTTATTCGTTGGCAGCTAAACTTGTATCTTGCTTGCTATATTGTGGCCTGCATTTGTAGTCGTAAGTGCAAACGGCAGATTCGTCTGCTTCTAAGATCCCAACAACGAACGGCTTCAGGAGGACAATAGAATTTGTAGCTGTTAAAAGACGAACTACTGGAAGCTTTGATTAGAATTGACTTTCTATACAAGGAAGCAACCATCCGAGAAACCACTTTCTATGAATACATTTTTTACTTACATGCATTTTTTATAAGTTTTAAGAAATCACTTTCTCTCTCACCATCACATTTTTCTCTACCCCTTTCACTCTTCATTTTATACCCAGCAGTGCAGAGTTAATGGTTGCCCCTCACAGACCGTGAACTTTGCAGCAAAAATGTGATGCAGACCGAATGTGCACCGTTTCACAAACGCATTTCAGGGTCTTGTTGAATTCTTCACCCCCTGAGAACATGAAGTCTGCAGCTCCCCGCGAGATGTTCTAGTCCTCCTGGAATCTTGCGATGTTCACGGTTTTGATGTGATCTTCATGCGCTGGGACTATGAAGAACTGCTTTGAACCGTGATCTTTAACTGCTTTCACCATTTGGTCCTGCTTAAACTACTTTTTGTCCGATTTTCGATCTTTTCGCCAATTTTATCAGTTAGAGCCTAAAATACATTCAAGCATAATAAATAAAAACTAGCGTAAAATGGCTCCAATAACGACCTACACAAGTAAACGGCAAAAAAAAAAGGTATAAATGTGCATAAATTTACTCAAATCACGCTCACTACTATACCAATTCGATCGATTTGTTATGACAACATTACATTGGTTGTGAGTGTGATTGGTGCACTATTGTTAGCTCGTGCTTAACAATTTGGTTGTTCAACCGAAAACCAAGGTTGTCAAACCGGTTTAAGTCATTGAGCCGGTCAAGCAAGGGGTTTGAGGTTTAATGGTCTGATCGGGGTCCGGCCGGTTTGAGCCGTTTTAGACGTTTTCTAAATATATATACAAATAAAGTAGTAATTAAAAATTTAATGAGTGAAATAAAATTTATCTTACATATATCTATTAAAAACTTAACTTCAACAAAATAAATCTACCTAACCTCCATGATCCACCTACCATTTCCCTTCCTTCGTACCTTTTCCTCTCTTCTGCCTCTCTTCTTCTCCCTGTATAGGGTCAGACCGGGGGGTTTTCTAGAGACCGTTTTGAAGCCCGACTTGGGTTAAACCGGGTCCAACCGGGGGATTCGATAGGGGTTTAACAACCTTGCCGAAAACTCTTACCACACACATTACAACTGCAAAAAGAGAAGATAAGTTGCGCACATGTTTGCTCAAGCCCGCAAATTCATTAAGTAATTATTATTTACATCTATTACATCAACCACGTTCGCAGATAAGATAATAATCAGATAAAAGGGCAGTATAAGTACTAACTAGTATGGGACTATCATGATTTATGACATCTAGAGGTGGCAATTGGATCGGATTCGTGGATTCGTGGATCAAATGGATTAGATCAAATGGATTGGTGGATTCATGGATTGGATCAAATAGATTGGTGGATTGATCCATGAATCCAAATGACATTCAAGGCTTGGACCAAAATGTAAAATTTGAAAAGTTTTGGTACTAAAATGTCATAATGAAAAATTTTAGGTACCAAAATGTAATTTTCCAATGATATTTTTGGTATAAAATATAAATTTTAGGTACCAAAATGTAAAATATAAAAAATATAAGTACCAAATCGTAATTTGTCATTTGGATCCATGGATTGATCCATGAATCCACCAATCCAATTGGATTTGGATCAAATGGATTGGATTAGGTGGATAATTTGATGGATGGATTGGATTGGATTCATGGATTTGGATCCTAATTGCCACCTCTAATGACATCCTTGCAAAATCAAAGACTAGCCACCAAATACAACAACCAAAAACCTTTTTCCTTCAGACCTTCTGTGTTTTAGTGAATCTAATTTTTGATTGTTCAAAACACAACAGAGGAGGAGGGATATGCAACATGCTCCTTCAACCCAGCCGGCCGAACCCAACCACAACAGGAAGGAACACCGCATCAAGTTCAACCAGCAGAAACAGCGACCCTGCCGCCTACAGGTCCCAAGGGCCATTGATGTCCTACAGATAGAAATGGAATTGTTAGGCATTAGTGAACCCCGCCATGCACTCTACTCAAAACCACCAAAACTGTGGACGGTTCATTTCTTATTCTCAATAATCGAACCATCGGGGATTTCCAATTTCTCCCCAGCTGTTATGCTTACCTTCCCCTGCAAAAGGAGAGGCAACAATGGAAAACAACGAGTAGGAAAAGTCCGGCTAGCCATATCGCAGCCGAATACTTGACATACCCATTTTCTCCTAACATGTAACAGAGTGAAAGAACGGGAGAGCATACCTTGATCTTAATGCCAACACCAAACCATACATCACCTGAAACCTTGAGGTTATCAAGATCAATGATGCTGGGAATGGACTTGAATCAGCTCAAGAAATTACCAACCTGGCAGAAAAGCACTAGAATGCTTTAGTCCCAGCAACCCACAATTAAATTGGTAATCTTGATTGTTAGTGTATGGAAACACTAACTAACCTTCTTCAACTCTAGGCCAAGTTCAATCGAGGGATTCTGAGGATTCGTTCTGGCCTCATTGCGAATGAGATGCCCATCAACCACAGTGTAAAGGTCCATACTTTACACCCAAAAAAAATCAAATTGTTAGCTACACAAACATCAACCCACTACTTAGGGTAAAAAGCCATGAAAAGGAGGTGCCTTGGCTTGGGGTTTGGAATTATCTCCATTTTTAGAGCATCATCTTCCACAAGCCTCTTGATAGCATTCAAATTTACCCACCTGATAAAAGGATAAAGCTTTAGTACTTTTGCACCAGTGAACCACACAAGCTGAAAACACAGCGTACATACAAGACAGACTTACAGGTTGTTTATGTTGAAAATTTTCAACTTTTCAATTGACTTAGAATTCGCCAACCTGTTTTAAGTAACAACAGTCAACCATAAACTCCAACGAGGTGGGACAGGTTACGGTGATTATTATAAAGTAGTAATCACCGTGGTTACTAAGGGTAAATTGGGTATGGAAAAATAAATTATATTAATTAATTTTTTAATAAATTACATTTAAGGTAGTTACAAAAATCTATTAATTAAAATTCTCTCTTTCTCTCACTTCCGTAATCTCCAGCCAGATTTCCTTTCCATATTTTTCTCAATCTTTCTGCAAAAAAAAAAAAAAAAAACGAAATCAGTACCAATCCATTAGACAAACACTACCACTTTGAAAAATATCAATACCATTGCAGAAATAAATCTATACCATTACACGAAAACTACCATTGCATAAATAAATTTATACCATTACACGAAAACTACCATTCAAGAAATAAAAACACTACCATTTCACAAAAACATCAATACCATTCAAGAAATATAAACACTACCATTTCACAAAACATCAATACTATTGCAGATTTAATCACTACCAATGCGACAAAATCAATACCAATGTAATAAAATCAATACCAATGCGACAAAATCAATACCAATGCGATAAAAATAATACCAATGCGACAAAAACAATACCAATACGACAATAACACTACCACTACGGGGGAAAATGACTACCATTTAAAAAAAATCACTACAGAAAAAAATGACTACCATTTAAAAGAAACATACCAATCCTTAAAGATTGCAGGAGGTCTGACGACAACCCTAGGCATGGGTCGTTTTCAGGTTTGGGCTAAAGCAAAGAGAGGCGGAATTCTCACTATTCCAGAACACCAAACGCCTAGTGAGATGAGGGGAAAGGGATGGGCTGAAGCAAAGCTGTGAACTATGGCTTTGGACTGAAGCAGAGGCTGAAGAAAATCACTATGGATCAGTGATGGGGAAAAGGAGAAACTGGAGAAAGACAAAGAAGGATAACGGGGGATAGTGACGGGGGAATAGTCCAAACGTCCATCAATAATGAACTATGGCGGAGTGACGCCGACGGGGTGGGAGAAGGGAGAGACCGGGGCGAAGGTTCTGGCCGGCGGAGTGACGCCGACGGGGTGGGAGAAGGGAGAGACGGCTGCTAGGTAGATAGGTTGTATTAGGGTTTGATTATAATATATACAGTAATCAGGTGTGGTATGTTTTTCATTTCCTAAATTACCCTTAGCTAATCTTAATCGTTAATTTAAAAATATAATAAAATAAAGATAATGAATGGTATAGATGTTGGTAGCCACCGTGATTACTCAAAATTGAGTAACCACCCTAACCTATCCTCCAAACGAGGTATTACAAGAAGCAGAGTAACATGCTAGATGCACTATGCTCCCAATTCCATATAGCTTCTAGGCTGGCAATTTAACCAACTAGTAAGGAATCAGAAAGTGACAATTTAATTGTCTTACACTACTTAAGTAAACAATACAGTTGAATATTGGAGTTTTTTCCAATAATACATACACAATCAACCCTGAGGAGGAAGGAAAATGAATTTTTCTAGTAGATCTCAATAACTCTTTATAATGTTTATCCCAGTAGACAACATCCGGTGTCGGTCAAACTTTCTTGTCTTCCTGTCGAATTGGCTTTCAGAGAAGGGTTAGGCAGAATCTGAAGTTCTACTGGTAAGCCGATTCATATGGATCATTCAACAACCCATGGGGAGCGACTTGGTATGGCAAATATTTGTGTTGAGGTGAGCACTAAGAAACCTTTGGTTGATAAAATCAGTGTTACACCAGATGACATGAAGGGAATGTTTATTGGAGTACAGTATTGTGGGCTACCTAAATATTGTGATGCGTCTGGTGTGTTTGGTCACGATTGCTTGATGCCTCCTTGAGCTAGAACTAGAAGAGTTTGGAGGGTGAAGCACCATTACCTTCACATATTTGCTCTCCCACCGACGAAGAACTTCTCTCCTTATTCCTTTGGTCCTCCATATCTCCACCCTTGTCTCTCTTCTTTCTTTTCAACTGGTATTCTGTTATTCTTCCTTATTTCTGTTACAAATCAGTGATGGAGAGAAATACACTATAAACTGTTTTATCTGAAAACGAAGACGTCACTAATGTGAATTTTTGCAGCAATAGGGGATTGAAGACATGGACTACAGCGAAAGATTCTGGTCACCGGGAACCTTATATCGCCGATGAAGGGCGATTTCCTGAATTGCATGTTGTAGTCGATTTGAATCTCTAGTGGCTTCTATAGAATGGAAAATGATGGAAAGATTTTTCAAGTCTATTTGGACGCGTGCCACTCTCTCCATCCTTTTCAGCTTTAAATCATGTTTTTACGATTTTTTTTCCTGAGTGTTTTGGTGAATCTTGGATTTTAGAAAACCATGGATGCATGATGAATTTGGTAGCATTATAAACTTGAACAAGTCCATTGTTTGCTTGTTGAATCTGATTATGAATTTTGTTTGATTAGATTTGCGGATATGAAATACAAATTGTCTTGTTACCCTTAACGAAAACTGCCGTATCTTGGATTATCCTTCCCAAAACGCCATTACTACAATCGCTATGAGAGTTGCAACTTGGAAACCTGTCCCATTCTTGTAGAAAATGAACGTTATCTGAGCCATTCAAGCACATGACAGTTCATCACTTACTCCCAACCATGCTGACAAACATGGTTACATACACATTGTCTCACTCTCAGCAGAATCATCATCAAAGTCATTCAACCAAAATGAGAGAAAGTACCCATTCATTCAAGCGTTTGCATTTCTTAACAAAGAAAACAGTTAAGTAAAGAACGCAACCGGATCTAATGAATTAGATTCATCCTCCAGCTTAGTTGCAGTCCTCTAAACCCTAACTGCTCAATAGCTCTTACGGTGCTTGTATTGAAAAGGAGAGCAGAAAAAAATGATTCCACGATGCGAGCTAAAATCCCATAAGTCACTAACTTGGATCTGTTTTCTTTTCTTTTTTTTTTACACAAACCTACAGAAGCTAGGTACTTCCAAAAGAGAGAATGGTGCTACGATTATTCGCCCAAAAGCACTCGGATTTCCCAATCTCCCCCACGCACCCTAATGCTTCCAGCTTCAAGTTTACCTAGCTCTCTTTTCGTACAAAGTTACAGTCCACCTTGGAAGAAGACGAATCTATCTTACATACCTTTGCACCAAAAGGGAGGAAAAGAAAGGTAAAGCCACATGGAGTTGTGTTAATCCAGCTAGCTAGGGCGTCTCTGACATCTCGCGGAATCTGGCCAGAGCCTTTTTGTGAATGAGAGTCTTGTAACTATCACCAGCCTGCACTTCAAGGGCCGGATCCAGCTTCTTCTGCTGTCTTCCAAGTCCTGCTCGGTGCTCGGACGACTGTGCTTGAACTGGTTCTGTCATTCCTCTTCCGTCTTTTCCCAATCCCTGGTGCATTTATTCAAAACGCACAAGAACAAAGACCATCACCAGAAAAAGGAAGTTAGATCCCGTCAGCCAGTAGCCATGGATACACCCTTCCAGCTTCACATCACAAAAGATCAATCAGTAATGCAAGCGAAAACCATTGACCAGAAACATATTAACAACAGCACATAATCGAATCAAGGATGCAATGTCCTGGTGCCCTCATGCAGACCAAGTAGCCACAACCCTCTCGAGAGAGAGAAAAGAATACTAGTAATCCATGTAGTATTGAGCATACAAGCATTAGTCAATTAAGAAGAAACCAGCAACTAAAACTCATTCAGTAGAGAAACGATGTGATACCAAGCCTTCGTGCCAGCCCATATTCCGTAGCATGCGATTACCCACATTGCTTTCATCAATGGCCTTCTCTTTTGTTATCACCTCATAACTCTGAGCACTGACATTTGCATCTCCCATCCCACCTCCCCCACGTCCTCCAACACCAGGAGGGAAAGGCATTGAATCCAAAGCGCCCTTTCTCAAAGAAGAATCCCGATCTTCAAGGATGACAGAAAGGAATTCTCTAAAGTCAATAAAATTTAACGGCATATAAACCAGAAGGCATCAACCCATGTTATTTTGCAAGTTCTTCGAATGAAAATGAAGGTTGACGGACAGCTCAAGCAAAAGGGTAAGAATGTCAAGGTCTGACGTCCAATGGTCCCCATATGACAGGAGCAGAAATAAGTTATAAAGTTGAAAACCTATTGTTAACTAGCTTACTTGAGTTTCCAATTAGAGCATCTGGTAGATGATCATCAACAGAAGAGGAACCATATAAGCTCCTCCTCTCAGCTGCGCGGTCTCTATAAGCGCCTTGAGTTTGGTCCTTGTTTGCAGAACCAGAGGGCAGTGGCATTTCTGAAAACCTCCTTTTACCACTGCCTGTTACTGACGGAGTCGAATAAGAACCCAATGCAGATGCATCAGTCCTGAATGGGGTAACGCCAGAAATGTCCCCTGCATTCATTGACACACTTGGAACACTGGAAGCAAAAGTAGGTGGTGCTCCACCAGGGGATGCTATATGTGAAGTATCCAATTTGGCAACCCCTCTCCCGGAACCTCTTATGACACCCATCAAGCTGCTCCCTGAGCCGTTATTTACAACTCTTGGCTTAACTAAAGACTCTAAACCAACAGACTGTTCAGCTGGTGCCACTGTTCCTAGGCCCTGACTTGAGATGGTAATATTGTTGGGCATTACTGGATCCAGTTTGACCTTAATTTTTGTATTAAGTCCAACTGAAGGAAGCTTATTATCATCTACTGAACTTGATGACTGATTATCATCGAGAGCCACCCGTGTTGCTTGCCCTTCATGACTCCTCTGCTTCCACATAGACAGCACATTGTTCATTTTCTTTTTGTTAGCCAAAATGCTGCCTTTTGAGGCAAGTTTAATCTCTTTCGCCTTGTCTTTCTCTTTCTTCTCTGCAGCTAAGGCTGCCGTTGCAGCTGCCTGGACTGCATCAGATAAGGAGCCAGCTTTTTCAACATAGACATTGGTAGCAGCAGGTGCAGAGATCACAGCTTTTCTACTATTAGAACCCTCCGACAAGTTGGTATTCTCCGACTCTTTGCTGGAGATATTTTTAGCATTCTGTTCTGGGCACGGGATGTATTGCTGAGTTTGGTCATCAAAAGAGTACCATATCCCATTCTTCCCATCATAGTAAAGACCTGCATATCATGATTGCATGCACCAGAATCAAACAGCAGTTACAGACAGGGATTTCCGCCTGAAACTAGAGAAATGGGATGTTTATTATCATACTAGATCAAAATAAGTCTCCATAAACCTACTTCAGTTGTTTATCATCATTTCTATTATTTCTGTTGTTTAGGGCATAACCAAGAGACTCCAATGCATCAGTTATAGCAGCAAATGATATATGACTAGCAATTGTGGAAGCTTTCAGATCTATCAAATAAAGTTATAGAAAAACTCTAGAAGAAAGAATACATTAAAGCACCACAGTAATCCCACTCTTCTACATGAAAAAGTGCCATGCATAGGTCCATAACAAAAAAAAAGACCTTATTGTGCCAGAAAATTAGTGAAGGCACCTGTATTTCCATCATAGTAGAATCCAGACGCAGCATCATAGTAGTAACCAGATGCTTCGTCCCAAACAAATCCAGATTGCAGAGCAGAACCATCTGTTTGAATTGAAACCTGTCCAACTGTTGGATCCCGAAGACTAGCAGGTTGTTTGTCATCAGGATTGTATTCCTTAGGTGCCCACCCGACAGCATCGTACTAGGATTAAGAAAAAGTAAAAATATATAAGCTATTCATACAAAATCATCATTAGGCAAGCCCATAACTACAAATACCACTGGGAGTCGAAGCACACCTTATCAGAAGTACTTAGAATGATTAACTTTAAAATATTAGCGATAGACAATTTATAATGGCATGGGTAAGGGGAAGACCCCGGAGGGCAAGACTGACAAATAGCAGAGTCAGAGACAATAATGCAAGGAGACCACAACTGTTTTAAGGAATAAGACGATCAAACTTTAGATTTTCTCTACCATGTACAAGCCTGTCCAATAATCTAAAGCTACTTATGGTGCGATTTGGAGACCCCAAGTTATTATAGGGTACATCAAATTCCATTTCCAAAACTTACTTCCATTCCAAACATAGCTAGTGGAGAATGACTTCATAACACAACTCTATTTCCTTTGTCTTTTGTTGATTCAAACTAGGCTTTAAGGCTTTTACCTTCATCAACTGCTAAATTTACTGACAGTATTAAAATTCCAAGAAACAGCTACATAAAAGTAGATACCAATTTCATTGTGAACTACCTGTTGGGCAAAAGCTGCTGCCTCAATTGCAGCAGCTGCTAGGCTACTAGACTGCATTGTTCCAGATGCCCCAGCACCAGGACCAAGAATGCTCTTTGCATAAGCAACTCTTAACACTTGCCCGTTCTTCTCAAGAGTCATTCCATTAGTTGCTTCAAGAGCTTTAGTAGCATCCTCAACCTAAAGAATAAGCCAGGAGGAACCATAAAGCCACATCATTAAATCTTCCAAATGATCCTACTTCCATAATAATGTGAATAAAACCATGCATGATTGTGAAGCACAAATGACTGACACTAGAAACACTTCCACAAAAGTGTTAAGACGAATCAGCTCATCAAAAAAGGGAGAATATGACCAAAGCCAACAAAAGAACCACAAAAGGCCTCTTTCCGAATGTTGTTGGTCAAGGATCACGCAATTTCAACCACCCCACAAGGTATGATTTGACTCGTAGGGGCAGCAGCAAAACAAACAAGAAGGATATACCAGATCAAGCTATCTCTAGTCCCCTGACTTATCAACAGAATCATCTGTTCACTTGAGCTGTACGTCTATCCATACTCAGGAACAATGTTCAGATCGACACAGATTTTAGTATCATCTCAGATGCCCACAAGTAACTGATCACTGGCACCTGCCAAGGCTATAATTACTGAGTGTCTTCAAACCATGATTGCTGGGCTTTTATATTTCCAGTAAGCAAACTCACTAAATTCTCTCTTAAATGGCAGGAAAGAAGCAGTAGAAAACAGTTTCGATTTCAAAATTACTGAACCTTGGAACAATCACTAAAGATTCTTTTCAAACTTATTTTGTTCTTATTACAAACTTGAACAATAACTAGCCCAGATTCTATTTTCCATGCAGAGTGTCCACTCATTCTCCTCCTGCTACTTGATCGCTATTGAGATTCTAGCCAACAACAAACTCTTCTTGTCAATACATGCTTCTCATCCCACCTAGACAAAGAACAGGTATGCAAGAGCCTATCTAATTAACAGTAAGATTTGTACCAAGGAAAGTCGTTATAACAACTGATCGGTTAAAAGTCCCCTTGCAAACTAGATCACCAAATCAAAGCCAAAACAGTAAATAAAAGCATATTCATTCATCCCGTGATAGGACATACACTCAACAGCAGGAACAATAACAGGACTTGGTGAAGTACCCAACCTTATTCTTGTTTCATAGCACATGCTCTCTCCCTTTTTATCTTCCCCATTTTTAATTTTCAAAACTCTTATTCACACACTAAGCTTCATGTATGAGTGAAAGAAAGATAATGAAATTCAGAAGCAATAAATTGTTGATTATGAGAACATACAGAATGGAAGTGAACAAACGCAAATCCCCTTGAAACATGAGTAAATTTATCTCTGACAAGACGAAGATCCTGCACAGAAACAAGATATAATTTCAATAAAGAACAATGAAAAATACAAAAGGACATAAGAAAAAAGCAATTCAATGGTTTACATACCTTAATAGGAGCATGCTTGGAGAATTCATATCGAAGCAACTCCTCGTCGGCATTTTCGTCCAGCCCACGAACAACCAGGACATGAGTGGGACCTATTATCAACTAACTTAGCAAACTGCAGAGTATATAATGCCCACAAGCAAAATAGCATAAAGGAATAGTAGACACAACCTGCCTCCAACCCTTTCCTTCCTAAAGAAGCCGTATTGGATAGAGCCATATCTGCTGGTGGAGCATCATCTCTCCGAGGCTCGTTACACTGTACCAACAATTAGGTCATGCGTTGGTATATTAACATCTTCAGTAACAAAGTAAATAAATATATCATGGAAAATGATCGAAAACAGATATCCAACTTGCAATAGAGATCAGGTAAAGTTCTTTCCACATAGGAAGATGCTAACACAAATATAAGTACATACATACCCTCCCAAAAACCGAACAAGTACAATCAACAAGGTTTCACGTATTGCTATGAGACATTCTCGTCATACATATGCTCGACTATGTAAGTCTGTATACCGCATCTGCATAGCTCATTTGGCCAGGCTATGTTGATTCACCAATTCACAGTCTAGGAAACACTCATCAATGCTTTATAGTTCAATGATTGATACAGGGTTAAGGCTTTTATGATTTGACCATGATCAAACCAAGTGGGATACTCAGGATTAGTGTGTTATCGACAAAATCGAGGCTTTACATTATCTCCGGACTTGGTAATTTAAATTTATCTATCTATCCAGTTCTTAATTTTCTCTCATAACCTTCCTTCTTTATGCCTTAAGTAGTAGGATAAACTTCTTATATGCCTTTTCAGGCCTGCAACAAAAGCTATTCACGTTAAATCTGTTTGTTAAAAGATGTAAATTTGTAATTGCCCCACACACATCAGGGAGCCAGTGCGGCAGATTTCAGATTTAAGGATACGTTTATCATTGAGACTTCACTCAATTCTCAATCCTTAGTTTTAATAAACATATATATACGAGGTAGTTTTGTTATTATGTAATTTACATGTAGTATAGAGAATACGCAGAGGAGACACAAACCTGGAAACATGATATTCGCCGTGCAAAGTTGACACATTCACAAATAACGCACATCCAATCGGATGGCACTGTGATGCTTCTCTGATTGCTTTGACCTGATCGTGTCCCATTTTCTTGACCATAAGATCCACCTGCTGCTCCAGTTGGCTTACTACTGAAAGGAAACAGAGTTCAAAGAGAGAATAATAATAACATGATCAACAAAATACATAATACATAATAACACAGTCATCGCCCTAAAGAGATACTAATATAGACTCCACATTACGACTGAAAGTCAAACTGTTAAAATTAACAGTAAAATCGTGGGCCAGAGTTGAAGGAGCGGGAAGTTCACAATCTGAATAACCAAAAAATAAGATTAACTAGTCATAATATAGATGTTAGGACAACAATGTACAAATTTTATAGCACAACCACTGACACAAGATAAAAGAAAGTACCTGTACTCAAAGAAAAGCTTTCTGCCATCCACTGCAAGACCCTCATCCCCAATTTTCTCCATCATTCCTCGTGCTGCATCCTGTTTTAAGAGTAAAGAATAAACCAGTGACTCTATTTAATAAAGTCGAAGGATTAGCAACTGATAGGCCGAAGGTAAATCATACCACAGAAGAGAAGTCGATAAAAGCAAAACCACGAGAGATTCCAGAATTCCGCTCTTTAATCACACGAACATGGCGAAGGGGACCCCATTCAGCCTGATAAAGATGGAATTTGTATAAAAAACAAAACAAGCCCGGAAAAATGAAAACTGATGGATAAAGACAGTAGCAGAGGAAAACTGAGTGAACATCTTACAAGCATCTGATACAGATCTTCCTCAGAAGTCTTCTGGGATAGACCTTTCACAACAACAGTTGCTGATGGAGCCTACAGAACAGCCAAGTTTACTGACATCCCTAGAAAAAATAAAATTGCCGCAAATAGGACAAATTAATGATATGCATACCACAGCATAATTCACTCTATGACGTCTCTGGTCACGATCCCTCCACCTCTCAGACCTGTCATACTGGCCATCCTCATAGCTATCCTCTCGTCGACTTCGGCTATAGCTCCGTCCCCGAGGTGATCTGGATCTAGTACGATCATCATGTCCACGAGATCGAGAACGTTCGTGCAGCCTTCGTGGACTTTGATCTCTATCATGGCTCGAACCTCTCCTATCACGCTCACGCTCCCAGGACCCACACCTCCGCCAACTGCTATCTCTCCTGCTGCCTTTGTCATAGTCTGAATCATGGCTATGCCGACCATAATCATAATCCCTTTCTCGACTGTCCTCCCTAGAATGACGAGAAACGTGTGACCTGTAATCATAATCATCATATGCGTAGTCATCCCTATCACGTCCCCTAAACCTAGCAGGCCTACTATATCCATGATCACGGTAGTCTTCAATACTGTGATAATCATCCTGAAACCTATCAAGATCATGATACGAATCAATCCCACTTTCGCAATAACCATCCATCTCACTGTATGAATCCATGTACGAGGTTTTTTCTCGTCTTTTAGACTCCTTCTCATGTGAATATTCATCTTCATAGCTTTGCCTCGATTGAGTCCAAACCCCAGCATTACTTGGGTTTTGGTAATTCTCATCTCTGCGGAATGCGCTTCTAGGGTAGTCCCTCGAGTATCGGTCATCAGGAAATCTCCTCTCATCATATTCACCACTGACCCTGTCAAAGTAGAATAAATTTTGGGGAAGAGAAGAAACAGAACCTAACATAAAAGGCATTCAATACCCAACAACCAAGAACAATAGCAAACATCTGTAACCCAGAAAACAACTTATAAAGCTAATGGAGCCGGTGACAAGTGTCAGGAGAGCACCTACAAATCTAGCCCTAATATTCTGCACTCACCGGTAATCCGATCCATGAGCAGCACCATGCCCGTCCAGAGCCTGTGGATTCAAGACAATAAGCTACATCAGCAACAAGTATGAATCATGACGGGAGGGTTAGGGAAATCCATTCCATATCTTCACTGCCCCCAACAGCTTAGCTTCCCATAATATTTTTTTTTCCCCTATAACGATGGGATGCCCCCAAGATGAAGAGGACAATCAATCACATGAAGCCTAAGAATTTCTGGTAATATCATCCCGATATATGCGATAAGGATAAAACCACAATTACGCTGTTATTTTCCCATCCTTGCTGGAGATTATAGCGGCCGGGATCCATTTTTTTCTGGAAAAGCAAAAAATCCGGTCAGGCGAAACCACGCCTTGCAAAGGCGCTCTGCTTCACAATGTTCTAAATCCTTCTCCTGTAAATAATATGCACAAACAGATACAGTTATGCCATTGAGGGAACCAGAACACCAGTTTCAAACTCCCACGCCGGTGGCCATGACGGGCTCTAGGACTGTACAAAAACTTACGAAATCCGCTCCCACCGTTCGATCTGCAAACGTAATCGAACAGGATGGTTTTCGGAGTAAAAGCTCCCAACGTCGACCACGACGACAACGATTTTGTAAGGCGCGATTTAATGGTTGGGCTGTATCTTGTTGAGGGAGGAAAGGAGACGAAGAAGAATAAGAAGCGCGGTGCCCCGCTGCGCATCTGAACCGAACTGAGGTCGCTCCGCGAGAGGTAGGTATTGGGTGATTAGCATAAACGGTCCCGAATGTTTGGATTTGTACAATACAGTCACAAATGCGTAATTTTGCACAACACAAATTAGAATTTGTTACAAATTTAGGTTAATTGTATGGTTGGTCACTGAGATTATAAAAAACGTTTAAGTTTGGTCATTTAAAATATTTAAATCCATTGGTGGTACTTCAGTTTACTGAAATCATTCAAGTTTGGTCACTCTTCGTCCAACTCCATTAATTTTGGTTGATGTAGCAGTCAACTCTCAAAATTGACCGTTAACTTAGTGACGTGGCAATTAAGAAATAATAAATAAAATAAAATTTAATCTATATTAATGTCCAACTCATATTTACCATAAAATAAATAAATAAAATAAAATATTATTATAATTATCAAATTGAAAGGGACGCTACGAAACCTCACCATCTCCTGCTGCTTGCCGCCGACGACAACCATGGAGGAGCTTCTGCTCACGTTCGCCGACGAGTTCTGACGCTCGGATGCGAAATCTCCGAAACGCGTGCTGCAGGTCGATTCAGCAGTTGGGTACCTGGGTTTGGAAGCTACAACGCCGCCGGCGACGGCGAGAATTGAATTGAGCAGTTGGGTAGAGAAGAGCACGGCGATGGGGTATCTTCTGCCAGGTCATCCCACTGTGGGATGAAAGAACAGCGGAACCGACGGACTTCACCACGCACTTCACATTCACTAGGAAAGCCACCAACCTGACCAAACGCTACGGGGACGGAATGATCTTCTTCCTCGCTCCGGAAGGCTCCGAGATCACGGCCAACTCCACCGACGGGTACCTCGCCCTGTTCGGCCCTGACACCGCCCTCAACGCCACCAAGGACCACCAGATCGTGGTGGTCAAGTTCGACAGCAATCGAAACCCCTGAGACCCGAGCGACGATCACATCGGGATCGACGTCAATTCGATTTGGTCCATCGAGTCCAAGCAATGGAATAGTAGCATCAAGGACGGCAGGATGGCCAACGCCTGGGTGAATTACAATTCCACCACCAAGAACCTGAGCGTCTACCTCACGTACACTGAAACCCCCGTCTCGACGGCGTCTCCAGCCTTTCGTACGTCGTGGATCTGCGCGAAGTCCTGGCCGAATTTGTGACGGTCGGGTAGACGATGGTCCTAGCTGGGATGATGGGGTCTCTGGCTCCGGAGTGCGTCACCACGGGGAGGGCAAGCAAGGAATTGGACGTGTACAGCTTCGGACGATGGGGTATCTTCGTTGTGCTCTTCTCTACCAAACTGCTCAATTCAATCCTCGCCGCTCCGTCGCCAGCGGCGCCGTAGCTTCCAAACTCAGGTACCCAACTGCTGAATCGACGTGTAACACGCGTTCCGGAGATTTCGCGTCCTGAGCGTCAGAACTCGTCGGCAATCGTGAGCACGAGCTCCTCCATGGTTGTCGCCGGCGGCAAGCCGCAGGAGATGGTGAGGTTTCGGAGTGCCCCTTCAGTTTGATAATTATAATAATTATTTATTTATTTATTTATTTTATGGTAAAAATGAATTGGACATTAAAATAGATTATATTTTATTTTAATTATTATTTCTTAATTGCGACACCACTAAGTTAACGGTCAACTTTGAGAGTTGACTGCCATATCAGCGAAAGTTAACGGAGTTGGACGGAGAGTGACCAAACGTAAACGGTTTCAGTAAACTGAAGAACCACCAATGAATTTAAATATTTCGAGTGACCAAACTTGAACGTTTTTTGTAATCTCAATGACGAACCATGCAACCCCAACAAATTTCACCTCATCAAAAGAATTAGTTGTGAGCCAGTTAGAAAGCAATTTTTTAAGATAATTTAATTCGTACATCATGATAATGTTTTAACACACATGAAGTTGTTGTGTATTATGAACTAGTGGTTTTAGGACATTGGATTCATGCAGTATCGATGATTCTTGCTATGTTTCGGACCCACGTATCATGATTGGGTTCTCTAATTGTGCTTAATAAGAACCAATTGGTCCTCCATGTCCAAATTTGAAGCATGGGGTAAACCAAACGTGTGTGACACCGTTCATTGCACAAAATCAGATTTTGGAAGAGATACTAGTTGATCCTTAGTGGGTAGTCCTACAAGGTGATGTTAGTTCCTCTCTAGTAAAAGTAAAAGTTCCACCAGTAGAACGGATCTCCTACTTGAGGATGTGTTTTTAAGGGCACAGATAAAGCTCCCGACCCCCCTTAATTTCATTGACCCTCCACACGAATTGAGAAAAAGGAGTTAAAAGAAGTACTCTGGCGAGAGTCAGATGTACAGAAATTGCTCTTGCTCAACCAATAAGGGTTGACCTTGAAAACTAGAGTTTGGAACCCCGAAAAAATGATGAAATGAATGAAAAAGGAAACGAAAGAGTATGAAAAAGTGTTTCCAATAGAAGAAATGAACGGAAAAGAGCATATGATTCGAAGAGTCCATGGTTGTGTGTGTTATGAGAGTCTCTTCATCCATTAATTATTTGTCCTAAGTCCACTACTTGGCATGATCATGGCTTGAGCCTAGAGCTCGCATTGAGAGAGATAGGGGATGTCTTAGAAAAGTGGTTGATCTCGTAAGCTGCTAAATGACCAGGAAGTCCTCTACCGACGATCGAAGTTGCATGTTGCTATGAAGGTTTGGAGAGTTGCATTGGTTTGACTCAGGTTTGCTTAGGGATATGCAAACGATTAAGTGTGAGGGAATTTGATAACACCATATTTCACATATTTTCCGGCATTTCTTGATCGTTTGGCTTGGCGTTTGATTGCTATGTGGCCCATTTTATGCTAGGTAGTGCTTGTTTGTGATATTTCAGGTTCTAGTAAGGGAATGGAGGCTTAGGAGCAAGTTTTGGTGTAACTGGAGAGCAAACAGGATTGGGGGGTTCAAGGAAGAAATCCACGGTCTGGGTAGTCAATTCCACGACCGTGGATTAGGAGTTCAGGTGTTTTTTTTTAGCAGGAGAAATCCCCTGTTTGGTGTCTGCATTCCACGATCGAGGATTGAAGGCGATTGACTGTGGAACTCATCCATGGTCAATTAACTTCCACCCGCCGTTGTGAAGTTCCACGGTCTGGAACTCAATTCAATGACCATGGAACACGACCGCGGAATTCACCATCGCGCTTACTAAGTTGAAACTCAGGATTTTTGTCGAGTATCCAGTTTTCTATGTTCTAAAACAACAAGAGTGAGCCTAGAGAGAAAAGTGATGAAGAACATCCTTTGCCAGAGATTGGAGTCATCTAACATCATTGGAGCTCAATCTTTCACCCTCCGAGTGCTAATTCTTAGTCGGAACAGAATTTCATCCTTCACATGATGTTTCCACTTCAAGCTTTGTGTTTTCTCTACTCTCCATGGAGTAAACTCGCTTCGCATCTAGGTATGAAGAACCCTAGTCGTGTATGTTAGGAATGATTGTATGAATCAATTTTCGTGGATAATTAACTTTCATATATTCAATTGAGGCATTATTCATAATTGCATGAGTCTTGATCAAATTCATGTAATTCATGCTTTAACCTAGAACAATAGTCTCTACATAGGTTAAAAGAGGAACCTTAATTGGAAGTAGTGAATCAACTACTTTAGTCGAGAAGTCGATCCACTGCTTTGTACTGGGATTGAAAACCAGCAGAGAAAGTTTTGTGTGTTAGTGCCTTGGTTAGCTTAATTTGGTGGAGGTTAATCGCCCACCGGGTATTTGAATCGAGAGGGTTTGGAATTCTTTAGTCGAGATTCCAGACTTGTCAAGAAGTTTCCGCAGTATATTTATAAATTGAAATGAATTTGGAAAATTACAATTTGAACTAACTGCAGACTAGGGGGATACATACTTGGGTGACCTTTCTCATACTTGAAACTAGAACGTTTACTTGCTTTATGTTCGTCTTTACTTGTAATCAACTTCACTCAAATCCCGTTGCTAGATAATAGAATTACACAGAGTAACCATTAGACCTAAGACCAGGATTGACATTTAAAACATGAACCCTATACTGCATTCCTAGATTAGGATTATACTTGATTTAGTTTAGTTGTGTTGGTAATAGCGAGTCAGTTGCTCTTCTAGTAGACACTGGACTCATACACGAAAATCTACAAAAAAAACTAAATATAAAGATAATAAAGAGACATAAGATGGTTAGTTTCTTTCATATACTGATAGAAATCCCTAAAAATTGTGCCAAAAACTTAATTCACATCAAAGTAATGCAATCAAAGTGATAAAATTCCTATATATGTCTCGAGTTATATTTCACAACTTCTTCTAATAATAGTTACTCATAACCAATCATCTAATTCTCAAACAAAGACTCAACATAAATCGATGGGTTGAGGTTCCCTATCTTTAGTGATTTTTGAATTATAAGATAAAGCAAGCATAACCTAAATAACAAGATAGGTAAAAGATACACAATTGATAAGAAAGTTTATCCTAGACGATCATAATCTCAATATGGATCATTACATTCATCGATGCATCTTTTATAACACAAACTGCATCCTTCCACTAAAGCATTCCTAATCGAGCTTTCGCCGCATGCAAAAGGAACTAGAACTATCTAATGCGTGCTTTGGCTTCATGTCCTTAGACTAATCAATCAAACAAGAGAGGATATCACATTAAGTATTTAAGACCTCTATGAACCATATTAATTGTCTATAACATTGATGATCTAAGGTATCAAGTATTGAACTCATTCATGCTTTGATGGTTGATTGACAACACCTAAACTGGTGTTATTTAACCTTCATATTAAGGTCTATTTCGTGCCAATTCATGTGCATAATTGTTTAAACAACGTTGATTGCATCCCTATTTTTGTTTCTATTTGATTTTGATGTGATTTTAGAGTGTAATACGAGCACAGTTTGTGCTTATTTGAATAAAAGCACGCAGCTCGAACCCAACCCCAATGGATTGGTTAAATTTGAACAAAACTTCAAACGAAAACGGACCAAAGGTTCAACTTCTCACTTGGGAAGAGGCTCGAATGGATTTGATCGAAGCTCAACCACGATTGATGTGATCTTCAATCGATACGAAACAAACACGAAGCTAGAACACAACCAACAATGCAAGGATTGAGTGACAAGTCACAATTTTCATTCCATCAAAAACAAAAAAAATTTACACGGGGCTTTCAAGCCTTTAAATATACAATTTACAACCTAAACTCGACTTCTAAACAAACAATGAATCAAATATAACTCTAACTCTAACAAGGAAACAAAAATCCAAACTCAAAAGGTAAACAAATCTCTGTTGCTTCATACTTAAGCTTCTGCCTGCCTACGCAAGGAAACAAGTCCAGTCTTCCTAGCCACTTTGAAGTTCTCGATCAAGGCCTTCTAGAGAGATTCAAGCCAAACAAGCTTCAGTCGTATCTTCTCCAGGTCTCTAACTTTAAGTTCCAACTCAAAACTCCCATCGTCTATACTCCATCTGCTTCAAATAAGCTTCCAAAAAAGGTCACTCGAACTGGCTCCAGATTTTGGGAAATGATTTCAATGGCTTGATCCTACTCAAACAAGACTACATTCATGTAGAAAATCACTTGAACTTCAAATCCCAACCTTCCTCTTGCATTTCCATCAATCAAAATGTAAGATATAAACCTCCAAAGTAGGCACCACGAAACTGATCGAGCACTTAGCCAAATTCTACCCTTTCTCCTTCCAACATGGGTTGATTCTTTGACAAGTAATTAATCCTTATGTAAATTGGGATCATATTAGCCCCCCCCCCCCCCCTTCTTCAAAAAGTTTCCCCCTCAAAGCTGGTTCACTCCTGCGTCCAAAAACACCATCAAATTCAACCTAAAAAGGATCTCAAAAGTAACCCTCTGTGACCGCAATTCGGGGTCCGACGAGCTCCTCAATTCGGGGATCTTACGAATAATGTCGTTTAATAGAAGTTGATCTCGTGAGTCGCATTCGCTACACATCCAGGATCCTCCTCCAACCAATTCCAGTTCCTAATACCATTCGATTGTCCCCAATTCGCCGTTTGTAATTTTCTCGCCGTTGAAAAATTCAAAATTTCCAGAATCTGACAATGTGAACCCAGAATCCGGCGACCACAAATCAAAATTTGGGAAAATCAATTCACGTGTTCTCGAACCGCTTTCCTTGCTTCTACTCCATCCTTAGGACTCTAGAAAGCGAACCCAAGTGGCTATTTGCATCGAATCAACGCTAATCCCCATAACCAATTTGAGATGGTCGACACTCTGCACGTATTGACCATAAATTGACAAATTGGGCATTTCGATTTCAAGGCTCCTTGTCCCAATTTGTCAGGTCTCGGATGTTCCTAGGCCAAGAACCAACGTGCCGATATGGCTGTCTGCTTACTTATCGAGACATCGTAAGCTTCCGCAGGGCAATTAACATAAACCCTCCACGCACCAGGACTGTTCTATGCCTCGCACTTCTGGATTCTCCACTTTCCCAAGCTCTTGATGACTCGATATTTGCACATGTTTTCTCCCTTTGTTTCTTGATCGTTTGAGCTTTAATTATCACGTCTTTGGCCTATTTTACGCTAGGTTGTGTTCCTTTGTCACATTCAGGTCCTAGAACATAAAGTGAAGCATAGGCGCAAGTTCCAAGTCAATCAGAGATCAATTGGCGATTAGGGAGAAGAAACTCTGGCATGACCTGAAGAAGAATGGATTACTACCTCACTTTATGGACAAAGAATCATGCAAGCTTGTCATTAAAAGAAAGAGGACGAGACTACGAGCGTCTGGGATCGAACGACGACTGATTCGGAGTCCGGACGAGGGAGAAACGAAGCATTGAATATAGGGGAACAGGTTCGGCAGTAAAAACACGGGCGCGCCTAAATGAAAACACGGGCGGGCAAAACCAAAGCACGGCCGTGCCCTCGATAGTGTTTTGCCCAGAATCGGGTTTTTAAGCCAATTTCGAGCCAAAGGAGTGGGAGAGCTGGGTTTTGGATCCCAAACACCCAAGGGACGAACCAAAGAGAGAGAGGGCGATTTGAGGGCATTCTTGGAGTGGAATTGGAGGATTTCTTTGCCTTGGAAGCTCGAAGAACAAGCCCGGACTTGAAGACTGATCATTTGAAGATTCTTACTGCAGTCTCTCTCTTCTCTATGGAGTAACTTCCCTTCACTTAGGTTTTGAGGAACCCTAGCTATCTTTGTTTGATTGGATGATTGTATGAGTACTCTGACTTGATAATCTTGAGTTCATATTCAATCTATGCATGTTTTCATGATTCAATTATGCTTTAGTCGAGATTATTGATTCTGCTTTGATCCTATGAGAGGGAATACCTGATTAGGTCAATAGAGCACCATAGATTGATAGTAGTGGATCGATTACTTTAGTCGAGGGTTGATTCACTGCTTTGTACCGATTGAGAACCTCTTTCGATAGAGGGAGTCTAGTTCAGAATGCCTTGATCGGTTGTTCAAGAGAAGGATACGTCCCTCTAGGCAATTGACTCAAGAGGGCCTTGTTCCTTTAGTCGAGACTCAAGGTCTAGTCAAGGATTCTCCGCATTGTGAATGAAAGTGAAACAGGTTAGAGATCATCAATCATTAATCTGGCTAGTGGCTAGGGGGAATCATACCTAAGTGAGTTCCCAACCTGTAATTAGATTAACTTTAACTGTAGTTTGCTATAGTAGTTTTAGTTCTTTCATCTTAATCTGGTTTGCTAAATAATAAACTGAAGCTAAGTAATAGTAACTCTAGAGACCCGTGGATTCGATATTTATCACTTGAGCCACTATACTGCAGTCCCTTCCATTGGTTACACTTGACCATTGTTAGGTATTGTGTCGTAGCGAGTCAGCTCTCATTAAGGCCATTTGCTGCTGTTCGGACCACACCTCCGACATTGACAATGGTTTGAGCAAAACGCGCTTTTTGTCATGCTTGACTTTGTAACAATTGGAGCCACCATCATATGTGATAGCTCGATCATATTTCCAAGTTCTTCCAAGAAAGAGATGGGCTACTTGCATCGGCGAAACGTCGCACAAGAGCTCATACTTGTACTGGTCGATTTCAAATTTGACTTGAGCTCTCCTTGTAACCTTAATTTCTCCGTAATCATTGAGCCAATGTATGTTGTAGGGCTCAGTGTGTTTAATCATTTCCAGGCCCAATTTCTTGGCGGTGTTAAGGCTGATTACATTTGTACAAATGCCTCCGCTGACAACACTGATTAACACTTGCCATTGACGAGGCATCTCGTGTGAAACAGGTTAGTTCACTGGTCATCGCTCATCTCGCCTTCCGTCGTTAAAGCCCAGAATGAAAGGAAAGGTCCAAATTCTGCTCCAATATCTTCATCTACTTCTTCCTCTGACGAATCGTTATGCACAATTGGGCCTTTGTTTTCGTCGCCAGAAACATACTCTCCATCTCGTAGTATCAACGTCTTAAGATTAGGACATTGATTGGCCTTATGGCCTCGACCACGACATTTGATATACTAAATGTTTCCACTGGAGGCCCCAACTCGTTCCGACTGTGCTGGAGTCAAATTCCTTGGAGCAGGCTTTACAATTTCAGGCTTGTTCACCTCGGCTGGCGTCTCTGTTCCCGGCTTAGAATTCGAGAATCTGCTTCCTGTGAACATCTTATGCTGCTTTTCAATCTTGATCGCCAGGTGAACCGCTTCTTCCAATTCGACGAATGATCTTAGATAAATTTCGTGTCGAATTTCGCAATTTAACCCATGGAGAAATCGGGCGATGGTGGTCTCCTTATCCTCCCTAATGTCGGCCCTCATGATTAGCAATTCCAATTCGCAAAAAATACTCTTCCACGCCGTGTGATCCTTGTCGAATCCCCTGCAAGGACTCGTGGATTTCTCATTGGTAATAGCCTTCCTTGATGCTCTTGTCGACGTCGTCCATGCCTAGGATCACCTACGACTAGCTGTTGCTCCAGCTCCTCAATTTCTGTTATTAAATCCCGATTGTCAGCAGTAGCGTCACCATACTCGTGCTCCTTTGGCTTAATACGAGGATTCCCCTGTGTTACTGTCAGAGACAGAGCATCAAGTCTCAGTCCCTGTTGCTCCAATTGGCGCTCGATTTTATCTAATTGAGCTTGAAAAGCATTCTGATATGCGTCGTGATGGTCTGTAAGAACTGAGTCGTGTTAAATTGGCCCGCCATTGAAGTTTCACCTTCCTGATTCGGCTCGTCGGATTCGGACTCCGACTCTGTTTCCTCTGGTTTTCGAAGGTCAATCAAGTCCTTCTTCCTCGTTCGCGCAACAACCGGGCGAACATCCTCATCTTCTTGGCCACTGTGTTTAACCAAGGCTCTAATGCCACTTAATGCGAGCACAATTTGTGCTTGTTTGTATCAAAGTACACAGCTCAAACCCAACCCCAACAGATTGGTTAAATTTGAACAAAACTTAAAACGAAAACGGACCAAAGGTGCAACTTCTCACTTGATAAGAGCTCAATTGGTTTTGATCGAAGCTCGGTCGCGATTGATGTGATCTTCAATCGATACGAAGGAAACATGATTGATTAGTGGGCCGATTAGGATTAGGGTTCTTTTAGGGTATTGGGTATCTTATTATAAATATGTACTTTGAGTCTTACGTTAGAATCAATCAAAGAAGTATTCAGGAAATATCCCTCAAAACCCTAATTCCTCTTCTCTCAATATTCGTCACCTATCACTAGGCCTTTGGCCGTTCTTCTCCTCGATCCCCAATTTTCTCTTCTATATCCCTAACTCCCAATTCTGTTCTTCCTATCTCAAATCTCTAAATTCTTATTCTATTCCCCAATTCTATTTTAAATCCCCAATTTCTATCAATTCTTAATCTCGCAAACACTTCGGTTCGGAACCCTAAAAAAGGTTTCTAACACAAACCGCTCACTTTCTAAAAGTCTATTTGGAGCTCATTTTGATCAGACTGGGTTTAACTGTACGGCCAGTAAAAATGGGTTAATTGCATGGTTGGTCACTAAGATTACAAAAAATTTCATGTTTATTCACTGAAAATATTTAACTCCAAACTTGGTCACTCAAATTAATTAAATGGTTCAAGTTTGGTCACTCTCCGTTACCTTCCGCCAGTTTTCGTTAACACAGTCAGTTATTTGCTGATGTGGCTAACAGAAGACTTACAGAAGTGCTGATTCACCCAATTTAAATTATAAAAAAATAAAAACCGACTTGTACAGTCAGCAAAACTCGCCACATTAGATACCCACCCCAACCCAACCTGTGACCCAACCCTTCCTTCTTCTTTTATTTGACCCAACCAAAATAAAAACTATAACAACTCAATCAGAAATCTCCTTTGACTCCAACATCGTCTCCGCCTCTAGGTCTTCCAAACCCAAAATCCTCTCCGAGTTCACCTTCACCGCCTCCTGCCACGAGGTCACCGACCATTCCCCGACTCCGTCCAGTCCAACATCGGCCTCCTCCAAGTGCGAATCCCTCTCCGAGCTTGCCCTCACCTCCCCCATGCCCAACAGATCTGGATGGTGTTGGACAAGGGCAGCCCTGGTCCGGTTTTCAATAGCGACTCCATTATTGCTAGGCAACCCAAGGACAGGGAAGTTGGAGAGAATTGAGGCGGCGACACAATTGACGAAGGAAGGGTTGGAGGCGACCGTACAACTTCCTATTAATCCGGCTCGGTTTCCCTTTTTTGGTTTGGATGCTCTGTTTGGTTTCTGGAGAAATGGATGAAAGTTGGTATTTTTTCCGTGTAATTGATGTTGGAAGCTGGATTTTGCTAGGGATAACCACTTGGTGGAGAAACACGAGCCTTCTTCTGGGTTATTATTCTTCTATTTTATTTGATTGGAAAAAACCCCTAGCCCCAGAGAATGACGGATCTGCTTTTCCCTAACCTGTCGTATACGGGAAGAGCGAAGTCGACATCGAAGAAGGAGTTGAAGGTAGCGCTTTGTCGTTGCTCGGTCAGATTAGAAAGGGGAGTGGGATCAGCAATGAGGGAAGAATTGGGAACTGAGTAGATTCGTTAGCTGCATTGACGAAGGATAGTGAAAGCAGAGGATGAATCAAGGTAGATCAGCGACAGCCAGCGGTGGTGATGGTTCTGTTGAAGGAAGAAGAATAGAAGAGGGAGGAGAACAGGGAAACCAACGGATTGGACGAGGGAGGCGACAATTGCTTCTTCCGGTCCTCTTCTCCATCGACTGCTGATTAATTTTGCAGATTGGTCAATCTTGGTTTTTAATTTGGGATAGGTCGAATCATGAGTTAATGGGTCGGGTCATATTGGTTAGGTTTTTATGATGTGGCAGGTTTTTTATGACGCGGCAGGATTGGATTTTATTTTATTTTTGTAAAAAATAAGTGACTAGATGAGTCTATTAGCCACGTCAGCAAAAAAACTGACGTTGTTAATGGAAACTGACAGAAGGTAACGGAGAGTGACCAAAATTGAACCATTTAATTAATTTGTGTGACCAAGATTGGATTTAAATATTTTCAGTGACTAAACATGAACGTATTTTGTAATTTCAATGACCAACAATGCAATTAACCCGGTAAAAATTTAACAACCTTTATTATGACCCAATCGTACAATGACTTTAAATCAACTTTGAAGTTAAATGTGATTAACTGATTATACATTACTGAAAATATGTGTTTTTTCCAAATTATTTTTCTTCGTTAGCCGACGCGATAAAATTAAATTTGCTGGTCGAGTTAATTATGGTTGGGAGGGATCGATCGTCCTCTCCGGCCAACCAAACTTCTTTTTGACGGGAAGTTAACAATTATCGTCGTTTTAAATAAAATTCTGGTGTTGCCCTCTTACTTTATTGCTCTTTTTCCGATCGTGAAATACAGATATATGCGCCTGCTAAAGTTTCCCGATCAGATCTCCCTCGTGTTCCATCCTTCATCAGTTTCGGTGGAATATCGCCAACGGCCATCGCTTCCGGATCCATCTCCCTGTTGGACTCTCCAGGCAAAGAATCGTTTTAGGTCAGTTCCATGTCTTCCGCATTTATTCAGCCCCTCCCTCAGCCGGGACAGTAATTGGTTTCTAGCCGGAGTTCTGCTATGAGGTTTGTATCTAATAGTCACTGGGTTTTTCCTTTTTATCGCTGACAGGTTCCGTTTTTCGCTGAGTTTGCTGCACACTCTCCCTCCTTTAGTTTCAACTCAGATAAAATCGGCTGTTGCTGCTGATTCCTTGTTTCCGTCGGTACCTTGAGTATTTCCCTTTATTAGTCTTACGTGCGGTGTGGAGTTTGAATGTACTAATTGGCCATTAGAGGAAAATTCTCTCCCAGAGGTTCCATTTTGATGATGCGGGTGCCTCAGTTGAATATGACGTGAGCTCGTTTGGGTTAATTTGGGTAGGCATAGACCTGATTCTCCTTTGGATGATCAGAGCTGACAAGGCAATTTGGAGGTCGTTTAGGAGACTGGAGTGCAGTTCTTGAAGATCGAAACAAATTTCTGGAATTGCTTATAGGACGTGGAGTTGTTGTACCGTATTACCCATCTTCTTTTAGTGCTTAATTTTGGAAGGAAGTATGTCAGTGAATGGTACTATGGTGCACAATGACGAGGGTAATGCACCTGGCCTGGGGAATGACAAAGAGAAGTATGTACCCTTGGAAATTGAAATTGGAGTATCTCTCAAGGAACACTTATCAGATCCTGGAGACGATGGGTTGGATTCTCTTAGTAGTCATGGGTTAGCGTCCACAAAATCGAAGAGTGCTATTTCAGCTCCAGATGTCTTGAAGACCCTGTTTTTCATCCTTGTGTGGTACACGTTTAGTACATTTTTGACTCTGTAAGTTGGTGCTTATATCATGTCAATTATGTTCTTATGCTTTTCTCTTTATTCGTGCCAAGACTAATCATTCACATGTCTTCTGTGATGAACTCGCGTAGGTATAATAAAACTCTTTTAGGAGATCATTTGGGAAGATTTCCAGCTCCTCTATTGATGAATGCCTTCCACTTTGGATTGCAAGCTGCTCTGTCGACGTTCATCACATGGTACTGGTCGCACAGATTCGACACGGCTGTTGCTATGTCATGGAGGGATTATTTTGTTAGAGGTAGCTCATTAGTTTATTTAAAACTTCTTCTCCTCTCTCAAGGTAGATCTAAACTATCTTACCATCTTCTGACCCAATATCATGCACGGATGTGTGTTCGCCTACAGAGCAGGAGGGAGTTTTTTTTTTTTTTTTGGTGGTGGGGGGGGGGGGGGGGGGGGGGGGGGGGGATAAGTTTTGTTTTGCAGCTTCTAAACTGTATGACCCCATGTACCCACATCATTGTCTGCATTAGACTATCACACAATCACCACTGAAACATTGGAAAACTATTTGTAGTCATTAATATATACCATTAGGTTCTGCATTTGAACGTGGAAGAACAGAAGTTGAGACCTGACTCCTTTGAACTAATATTTTATTCTCATAGGAGATTTTAGAACTACTAGTAAGCTAATGTTAGAAGTAATTTTTCTCACAGTTGTGCCAACCGCTCTGGGAACTGCAATGGATGTCAACCTGAGCAATGCATCACTTGTTTTCATTTCTGTTACCTTTGCTACAATGGTTAGTCTTCTCGCATTGTCCCCTAGATATAGATTGTTTCATCAATCTGAATCCAAGTTAGATTGTCATTCTACTTCACTCTTTCATTGACTTCAAATGTTTCATGTGTTTGCAGTGTAAATCTGCATCGCCTATATTCCTCATTTTATTTGCTTTTGCATTCAGGTAAAGTGCTTCATTTGATCATTCTCATGTGTTCCATAATGTGCTGCAATTCTCCTTATATTTTATTTCTTACTGTGCTTTTTATCTTTAAAAAATCACATTTCGGGTTTCCTAGTATTTTATTCGTGAACACTACTACAGTCACAATATTGAACTGGCTGGTAAATTTGCACTGAAGGGAGCAGTGGCGGGTGTGTGTAGATCAGCTGACTCTCTGTGGCAAAAAAAAAAAAAAAAAGAAAGAAAAAGAAGAAGAAGAAAAGCGAAGAGTAAAGTACAGATAGACCAAGTTGACACACTTTCTCGTGTTTGTTCTATCTAGTGTGGGATCTGCTGTAGCGTTTTTTCTTCATGTCAAACATCAATGTCACTAGTTCATTGCACAATAGAAGCGAACATCATTTTATAGTTGAGCCCAAGGCCCAACTTTGTGTTTCCATCCTGCACTTGTCTTTTGGTGACAAGCTGGCAATGTTGACTTGTCTTTCGGTGATAATCTAGGGGAGAAGTTTTCTCAATGTTGTACGTCTCTGTTGTTGTAATACTCCTTTCTCCCTCGGATGCAGGTTGGAGTCACCTAGCATTAAACTTCTAGGTATCATCATGGTTATATCTGTTGGAATCTTGCTTACAGGTACGTCGTCTCACTTATTGCGGTCTATGATTAATTTCAGGGGCCGTTGCCTTCGTGGATTTGAAAAATGAAGGTTTTTTATTAAATCTGGACTTGAAAAACACTATTGTTTATTTCATAGATTTCATAATGGATTTTGTCAATTAGATTTGTATGTATGAAGTGAAATTGACATTTATTGTGCTAATTAGTATGTGCTCGTTAGTATGAGAAGAGTATAGAAATAAGAGGGGTAGGTTGGTCGCAAATGATGGACTTTCCACCTAAAGGGGTGGGATTTTCAAGTCCGCGAGACCCACAGTTTTGTTGCCCCTAAATACATGAAGCAAACATTTGAGTTTTGAAAAAGTCCATGATGGATCCAAATCCATCACCAAATCCATCAAGCAAACAACCCGTTCGTGTATAACTTAGGGTCATAATAGTCTGAATGAAGGAAAGGGCAAAAGTTATGGCGTGGTTAGGTTAGGGTAGATAAAGTTGGTTCCAGGAGGAGAAGATTCATTCTCTATATGGGCTTTGGCAGTAGTAGTCAATGAAGTGATTTTCATTGTCTCTTCTATGGATCTCTATCCATTTTGAGCAAAAACTGAAGAGGTACAGGTTGGTATTTTTTTACCTTGATGAAGGCTGTGTCCTGGTTGGAACTGTGTGAGTCTGATCCAGAATAAAGGGCAAAGGGAGAAAGAATCAGAAAGGATTAGAACAAAGTCATGGCTACATATGTTTTCAGAGTACACATATCTGGCATCTCATATTAAAGTGTCCACTTTGATATACGTTTTTTAGACTACAATACAGATGTAAATTTCAAGGTCCTTTAGCATGGTATAGACCTACAAAAACTATAGGGGTCTATGAATGTAACATGATTTTGGAGCTAATGTTTACTCGCCCCTTGTTTCTAATGTTTTATGGTCCTTTTACATTTGCGATGGGGTACAATATCAGAAGTTTTGTTTCCTTTCAAACTTTCCCCCTTATACAATTAGGGGTGAAAAATCATCATATCATGATCACCTAAACTATGGGTAGGTTGATTGGAGAGAATAACGTTATGTTTGTGCTAATTGTGCATTTCTAATTGAGTCTGGCGAACTATGTATATATTTTGATAGGGAAATTAAAGATAAACAGAAACAAAGACATGAGCTGTTCCCTTCCTATTGTTTCTAAACGTTTGAAGTTTGAAGCACTCTAGAACATTTGATTTGCGTTTTAAGCTGAATAGATATTTTCATAATAGTATCTAGACTGTTATTTATTGTTGCTTATTTTGTACTAGTTTTTTGCAGAATTATCCTAAGCAATAGTTTTGCTCAGGATCTGGAGTGCTATGTATAGTGTACTGTTCAACAGATTATGACTATTTTTTTTTTCTCCATATCTTAGTTTGTTGCACCTATGAGTAGTCTCCCCACTCTAGTCTAAATCTTAGTTCTGCCCTTCCCTGGAGCTTTCCACAACTCACCCTTATGGTTTATTTTTGCTTCCTGTAGCTGACACATTTTCTGTTTGCAGTGGCAAAAGAGACTGAATTTGAGTTTTGGGGATTTGTATTCGTAATGCTTGCTGCTGTTATGTCTGGGTTTCGCTGGTCCATGACACAAATTCTTCTGCAGGTATGATCTTAGTCTCCTATATAATGTGACTTCAGAATTTTTAGTATTCCATGCTTAGTTTGTATGTATATGTACATATGTATAGCATTGTGTATATTTATGTCAACACTTACATGTGGTAACCTTGTTTCATCTCCTTGTTTTTTTCCCTGTTTCCGTTCTCTTCATCTTGATGTTGAATCTCGTTACGCAATTTGGTTATCCATGATGATCCAAAACTGGCATGAAGAAAGAAACCTACGGTAGGTGCTATTTGCCTTTTCTTATCATTTGTGGACTTCAGTTTCTAGTTTTCTTTTTTAAGTTTATTGACAAGCATCTTTCCCTATTTCACAAGAAGATATATAAAAAGATGTGTGATCCGTCAATGTTCTTAAAAGATTGTTACGCCTGGTAGCTGATAATAATGGAATTCTACTCTTGCATCACTGTCCATCATTACTTGTCCGTTATATAGAGTAAATTTCAGTTGAGATTTGATAATGTCTAATTTACACTCTTTTGCCTAAAATGTATGCTAATGTTGTTAACTTGTAATGTTTGATAGAGAAAATGTTTCCATGTGAAGTTTCTTTTGACAATGTACGGGGTTTGGCGCAAGAGCTATACGGATGAGTTATGCTAATTATAACTGCATCTTACCAAAGACTAATGCAGCAATGCTCATTCACCGAAGTTCTAGAAAAACGTTCAATTCACTTTTATGATAATTGATAATGACACCTGATTTTTAGACTAATTTATTAAAACTGTTTAGTTTAAACATCTTATGGAGCCTTCCTACTATTTAAACATTTATTTCCCTCTTAATTCCAGTGTCAATCTATTCTAGTATAATTTCAGTGAATTATATCATTGATCCATGTTTTAATTTCCTTCCTCAATTGCTGCTTCTAAACACACCCAGACACTAAAAGGTTCATAAACGAGTGATACTCTTACAGGCTTTTTATAAAAAAAAGAAATTAAACAAATAAATGAATGATACTTCTGACCTTGTGAGAGAGATGTTTGATGCTGTTCATGCACATCTACCTTATCAAATATGATTGAAATTATGTGATATTCAATATGGTAATGATGGCTTTTTATTGGTGCACTTAAGTTCTTCGAGCTAGAGCCAGTGAAGAGTATTATAGCTTTTGCAAATTTTGCATATGAACATATTGCAATATTTCTATTAAGTGGTTCTGTAAATTATAATTGGTATATCAGTTCACTTGTCTCTCTGTGTGTATGTCTGACTTTTCTCTAGTCTTCGTGGGTTCTCTTGAAAACCTAGAAACTCTGTCCATTATGTCTGGGTGTCTTTTCCTCTGGTGATTTCTCACAGATTAAGATCCTTCTCTCTGATTGTTTTGTAGGTCTGAAAAATCCCCTTACCTTGATGAGCTATGTTACTCCAGTTATGACACTGGCAACAGCTCTTTCTTCTCTCATGTTGGATCCATGGCATGAATTCAAACACACTAGCTATTTTGATAGTCCATGGCACACTGTTCGGAGTTGTCTGCTCATGCTGTTTGGAGGAACGCTAGCATTTTTCATGGTAGGATTGAATGGAAGATCCCCTGTTCTGTTATTTTTCTAAATGTTGTCAGTAAGTTAACTTCTTATTCTTGTTACAGGTTTTGACTGAATACATTCTTATTTCAGTAACAAGTGCTGTTACTGTGACAATAGCTGGTGTGGTCAAGGAGGCTGTTACCATTGTGGTATGAGCTTCTCTTTGTCATGGTTACTGTTCTTTCTTTTGGTCATGCGCATGATATAGGCCAAATATTTAGTTTTAATCTTAACCACTTGGTTATGGTGTCTCACGATTTTGGCTTTTGGGAATATTGTCTAAGCAACCTGCATCATGTTTATATCAGGGACTTCACTGCATCTTCTTTATTATGTGATTGTACTTTGTGACGACATGATCCCAGTTCTGCCAGAGAATGTTCTGATATATATGGTTACTAAAATTCTAATGCACGCTTCCTCAACTTGGTTTGTTCTTCTTATGCATATATCCAGGTGGCTGTATTTTATTTCCATGACGAGTTCACCTGGTTGAAAGGTGCTGGTCTCATCGTCATTATGGTTGGTGTTGCTTTATTCAACTGGTACAAGTGAGTAGTCTTCCTTCCCCTTTGTCGAATCAGCGAATCATGTCTCTAATATATATTGATTTAAAACCAGAACTTGTAAGACCTTTCTCAAAAGCAGCAGATTGAAGAAATGTTCCTCAAGCTTTTGCCATCTTCCTCTTTACCTTTTCAGATATGAAAGGCTGCAAAAGGGAGAAGTCAGAGAAGATGCCTCGGCTAGGACCTCTACAGAAACCGTCCCTGCAAAGTATGTCATCCTCGAGGAGACAGACGATCAAGAAGACGAAACTTGATAATTCTCGCACGATACGGTTCCTTGAAATGATTAGTGTCGGTACTAAAATCGGTTGGTTCGCAACTGAAAGAGATGACCCGTCTGCAAATTCTGGGTGCCATTGTTGCCCTTTGGACAGATTCTGCTGATGGATGGTGGGACTGGGGGGCTATAGACTCGGGCGTATCTGCAACTTATGCTGGTCTGTACTTTCAGAAAAAAATTGCGGTCTTCGTTCGGGTGGACGATAGTAAATTTAGAAGCTTGTTGGATACCATGGAAGGGTATATAATTTACTGAGATACGGCTTCTCTAGCTGAAAAGCCTGTTTGTATCATTGGAATAATCTGACTACATGTTGTAGTAAGTCTCTTACATAGCTAAAGAACGGCCTCCCGCTCAGCTATTCCATTGTTGAAACTAGGCTCAACTATAAGTAGAGGTGTCCATTCGGGTTTGGTTTTTTTTCCGGGTTTACCCGAAACCGACCCGATTATATACATTTTTCGTTTTTTAGGTTCGGGTTTGTTTCGGGTTTTTCGGTTTCGGGTTCGGTTTTGCTTATCGGTTTTTCGGGTTCTGGCTAAAAACGTCCAATGAATAGAACTCAATCCGTATTCTTAGGCGTTCGGGTTTTCGGGTTTCGATTTTGCTTTAACCGAACCCAAACCCGATAAGGAATTTTCGGGTTCGGGTAACCGGAACCCGCAAGTCCTTATCGGGTTTGGGTTCGGTTTTAGTGGTTTTGGATTTTCGGGTTTTTTCGGGTTTCGGTTCGGGTAACCGAACCGAACCCGACCCGAACCGAACCGACACCCCTAACTATAAGATGTAAGAAATAAGGTTCTGCGCACGTGGTCCTCGCGACACGATAGATAGAAAGAGAATTGATACGCTAAATCGCTATTCGTCGTCTTAAAATTTGATTTTTTTTTACCGCCCTAAATCGTACTAAATCAGCGTTTGTACCCTTGTGCCCAATTTCAATCTGCAATCTTCTTGCCTCGAAAAAATTAGGCAAAATACACTTGTATAGCCATAACTTTCACGTTTTTGACAAATATAGCCATTTCTATTCGAAAACCACAAATAGCCAAGAAATTGGATGGTTGTGTGACAAATCTAACCATTTTCGTTAGAAACTTTAACGGTGTTAGAAACTCCATTAGTTAAATTAACGTTAGGCTGACTAGGATGCCAAATCATCGCACACGTCAGCGACAACTCAACCACACTTGCCACGTAAGTGCCATGTCATATTTTAATTCAAAAATAAATTAGTTAATCAATTAATAACTAATTTAAAAACATAAAAATATTTATTAATTTTTTCCTTTTCACCCTCTAGTCTCCTCTCCTCTCTCCTCTCCTTCGTCTTCCACATCTATTCTCCAATTTTCCCAGGAGAGGCACAGCTTCAATCGAAGCCACCGCCGCATCAATCGACTTTCCCACCACCGCCGCATCAATCGTCATTCCCAACCAGCGACCATTGCTCCCAACCAAAGACCCGACCCCCTCTGTCTCCGAACAAATCCCCTTCCCTGCAACAAAAATCTCAAACTCAAAAATACCCAAAATCTCCAGAGAATATACCTAACCCCCTCCATCTCCGATTCAGATCTGCCTATGTTGCTCGCTACTCGCCATCACTTCGTGGAGCTCGACGATGTTGTGCTCAGGGGATTCTTTTCGTTGGCGGCGGTGGTGGTTTGAGAGATCTATTAGATTTTCGTTTCCTCTGCTTCTTCTTCCCGCAAGCACCATTGATGAACTGGAAGCTCGCGTTCAGGGGCTTCTTGGAGTAGCGGTGAGGAGACGACTCAAAACCACACCTGCGACCTTCCCCCTTCCCCTTCCTCCCACCTCTGCTCCTCCACCGCACACCCCCACCGGGATAATTTCATCACCGGCGCCGATTTTCACGCTCCTCAATGATCACCCATTTTCTCCGCCTCCGCCGCTATCATTGCTTTTGCGAGTCCGCTTCTTCCTCTAGGCAGATTCAAGAACGAAGAAAATCGTAATTCAAGGACATAGGAAATCGAGATTCCAGATCTGGCGAAAGATGGGGATTTTGGAATGGGGCTGACGCCATCGGCAGAGGAGTTGGGTAATCATCAATCGTCTTCACCCAACCTAGGCTCATCTTGGCTCGGCCCGCGGTGGCGAGACTCTGTCTCGGGCGTGAAAGGAGAAGCTCCGCCGCGAGGAACCTACTTCTTCTCTGCGGTGTGAGGAGTTAGGGGTTTAGAGGGTGGCGGATTTACGGTGGCTGAGATGGGTTTGGAGTTGATTAGGGTGTTTGATTGAAATTTGGTTTCAAAAAATGGCAAAGTGGAGGAAGGAAGAAGACGAAGATGGGCAGAGTGAGCAGTGCACGAAGATTGGAAGAAATTGAGAATGGTTTCATTAAATTTTTTATATTTGATTTTTGTTTCCATTCTTATATTCACGTGGAATGGTTATTGATGAAATGTCTCCACGTCAGCTTTTCTGTTAGTCTAGTCAGCATGTTAGATGACACCGTTAAAAGGATGGACGGAAATGGCTATTTGTGGTTTTCAAATAGAAATGGCTATATTTGTCAAAAACGTGAAAGTTATGGCTATACAAGTGTATTTTGCCAAAAAATTAAAATTTTTCCGCCCTAATTCTAATAAATTGACGTTTGTGCCCTTGTGCCCAATTTCAATTCGCAGCGGGTAATTAGCATAAATGGTAACAAACCTTTGCACTTAGTACAAAACGGTCACAAACCTTTAATTTGTAACAATACGGTAACAAAACTTTGAAATTATATAAAATGGTCACCGCTATTTAATTTGTGACCGTTTTGTTTTAAGTGCAAAGGTTTGTTACCGAATCGTTACAAATTAAATGTTTGTCATGTTTTGAGGTAAGGTAGTTTGTTCGTTAAGTATATGACACTAACCACTTGAACGACATATAAGATGTCAGGTCATGTGTTCATCGACATATTTGCTTTGCCGAATAAGAATGCCCTCAGTTGACCTTTCAATTTCGATACCAAGAAAGTAAGAAAGTAGACAGAGTTTTTTCAACTAAAAAGCAGTCTGGAACCCGTTTGTGAGCCATTGAGTTCTTTCATTGTCATCTTTTATGACGATCATATCATTCACATACATTAACAAAACCACCATACAACTAGAGCGAATTGTAACGATGATTGATCGTTCAAACTTTTGAACTTAATTTGTACAAAACGGTCACCAAAAGTCTAATTTGCAACGACACGGTAACAAAAGTTCGAACTGGTATGAAATGGTCACACTGTTTAATTTGTGACCGTTTTGTTCTAAGTAAAAAGTTTTGTTATCAAATAGTTACAAATTAAAGGTTTGTGACTGTTTTGTACTAAGTGCAAAGGTTTGTGACCATTTATGCTAATTACCCCAATCTTAACTTCTTGCCTCGTCCCACCGACCAACCAAATTCCGGCAGCTGTTGTTCCCCCAATCTGCCGTCGCTCCCATTCCGCCAGACCGCCGACAAAGGATGCTTCCCGCGGAGTTCGTGTGTAGGAGACGGAAGGCAGAGGGCTTCTGGCGAGCTGGTGCAGGCAGGAAGAGGTGTTGACACACCCAGCGATTTGAGGTTTCTGAGCCACATGAGTTGGAATTCGACGCTGGATAGCGTCTCCTGCGGCGTGCTGAGATGACTGGAGGGAAATCGAAGAAGGTTATGGGACACCGACGCTTCAAGGGTGGGAGAACATGACGGCGCTTCAATCCATATCCGGGGAGAGAGAGAGAGAGAGAGAGAGAGAGAGAGAGGACGCGACGATGGGTCACGGCAGGCGATGTCCGATCAGTGAAGAGTGGGCGAAGCTCGGTGGCCGAGCTCCGACGTACTATGGCGGGATGGAGGGTTTTGTGGCCGACCTACGATGGAGATTGGAGAGAATCTCATTTTGGTTTTCAATTAATTCTTTATTTTTTTATTGTGAGGTGGAAATGGAATGCTTATTTGATTATATTTTATATTTGATTATTTTTTGTTATTGGGTATATTTGTTTGTGTTTGTTTTAGTTTTTAGGGGCTTTTTCAGGGTAATCTCTATTTTTTATCTAAATGTTTTTTAGATTCTTTTATATTATCTAAACATATTAAACTTCTATTAATTATCCAAATCTTTCGTATCAAAATATCAAAGTTAATATATTAAAATTTTGGAATGTTGACATTCATGAGTCTCTTTCAAGTTAATATCATGTTGTCAAGTCAATATTACTAACAAAATTACTAACTCGAAGTTAACATTTGGCTAATTCTTATAATTTCGATAGGTTTGGATAATATAAAAGAATCTGAAAAAGGTTTGGATAAAAAATAGACATTACCCTAGTATTTATGTGTTTTTGAAAAATAAAGACTACATTAAGCTATTTAAGTCATTTTAGTAAATATTAGGGCGACGAATAAGATGTTTTAGGGCGTCGAATAACAATGCTTATACGAGGTTAAATTGCAAGGTTGATCATTGAGATTGCTAAAAACATTAACGTTTGGTCACTAGAAATATTTAAATCTATTCGTTGTCATTAAGATTAGTTAAACTGTTCAACTTTAGTCACTCTCTGTTACCTTCCGTTAGTCACCGTTAACGGCGTCATTTTTTTGCTGATGTGACTAACAATTTTTGTACACGAATGGAATGAGTTCATTGTGTTTTACAAAATGAGATTTTTTTCAATTGGATCTATAAATTTTTACACAGAACGAACCAGAATGGTGGTATATTTGAAAATTTTCTAGATTGAATGGTATTTTTGTATTTTTCTTTTAAAATATTTCGGGAAAAAAAATCCCATTCATCTCGACCAGGTCCAAGCGTTTCATTTGCATACGCTCTCTCCGAACCCCACCCGTTCCGTCTTAAACCCTCGCCGCCGGTCGTTTTGGGATCAGCCAGAGACCACCTTCCCTTCGGCTAATCTTTGCTACGGCCGTTATCTGTTCGCCGTCCTTTCTTTGCCGTCCGGCTCTCTCTCACTCTCCGTCGGTACGGAACTTTTTCATCACTACGGAACAAGAGGGCATTTTTCTTCTCGTTTTAATTTATAGGCTGTGGATTTCGTAATTCGTCGAGCAACCTATTACATGAAAGGTATATAGAATTGATAGATATGCATCAATGGATTGGAAGTTATGATTGGTGAATCCTACTTGCTAAAGCTGTACTTGACCTGAAATTGAGTGGGGATTCACCAAGCGGAAACCCGCTGAAAGTTACATGTTGATGAGAGGTTTCCCGGTTTCTTTGTCCTGTCCTGTACTGTTATTTAGCCTGTCAAGCTTGTTCTATGTTAGGAAGGAAAGGTCAAGTCTTGGTGCTTGATCTGAACTGGTCTGCATTGAGCGGTGAGTTTCTCGATTTCTAGCTGCAGTGGGATTGTTTGGTTTTCGTCCTTTGCGATTCTGGGTTCGTGCTAGTTAACTGATGATCTCTGAGTTTGGTTGGGAACTATTGGTTTTTCTTAAATTGGGTCCTTCACTGATTAATTGGGTTCTGTTTATGTATGATGTGATGTAAGGCAATGGGTGACAAGAAGAAGAAGACGTTCATGTTCATCAGGCTAATCTCTGCAGCCGGGACAGGGTTCTTCTATGTCAAGAAGAAAAGCTCCAAGAAAGTCATGGAGAAGCTGGAGTTCCGCAAGTATGATCCAAGGGTGAACCGCCATGTTCTTTCACAGAGGCCAAGATGAAATGAGTGAACCAACAACCAATTCTGCTGGTGAGAGTAATGGCAGCCAGGTTTCTCATTCGCTCATGTTTAGATAACTACTGAAACCTTATTCTGTGTTCTTGACCGCTGAAACTTTCATAGCGTTCAAGTTTAGGAGATTGGCATCTTGCTTTCGCGTCCTTTATTTTGCTGTGCTACTGGTGAACCTATTGAAGAAGTGACTAGTGAGTAGCATATCTTGTCGAGTAACGAAGTTCATGTGTTTTCTTGGTATTGGTAGAAGGATTTGAACCCCTCTGAAACTTGGTTTTGCATTCTCAGTTGATGTTAGCTAAGGAATTGAAGCAACTCTAGGTCATCAGATGTCATTTCCCATTTGTTGCAGACCTACACTCTTCAGTATTCTTACACTATTCTACCTTCTGGAGTGTCGACGATTATTTCTTAGAATAGCTAGGGTGATTTTCAGAAGAAATGCCATTTGGTTGATGAGAACCCTCAAAAGAACATCAAAATTTCGATTTGTTGAAGCTATGAATCATACATCTCCAAAGTAACAGAGGGATAAGCAATTACCAGAGCTGGTTCTTAGGTCAGAAGTACTATGTAGAGCATAAACTAATCCCGGTATTCGAAAACCAAAGTTGATTTCATGCATTGACATTACGACTATTTCTCTTAAAGAGATCCAAGAGATCCGATTTTCATCCAACAAATTATTGGAGACAAATTTGTTAGAATAATTGTGGTTGATTTGGTGTTCGTTGTGTACAGGGATGGCAATTACCCACCCATGGGTAATTATACCCAAACCCAAATAAACCCATTAATAATGGGTTGGGTATGGGTGAAGTGCATATGGGTTTGGGCGTTTGTAGATAGGTTGGGTATGAGTACAAATATTGCTTTTATAATCTAAATGGGTATGGGTTGGATATGAATATCTATTTACTTGAGTGTGTTTTAACTACACATACAAAAATTGGACATATTTGTAAAACTTGAAAATTTTACGTACCAAAATGTAAGACCAAAAAAATGGAGGTACCAAAACGTAATTTCCATCGATATTTTAGGGACTTATATGCAAAAAAAAATTTAGGTACTAAATATGTATATCTATTATCTAATAAGTTTAGGTACCAAATTGTAATTTGTATTTGGGCATGGGTACAAACCCAAATCCATTTGTTAAATACCCAACCCAAGTAAATGGGTATGGGTACAAACCCATCAAGCTTTACCCTCATACCCAACCCAATTGGGTTGGATAGTAAAATACCTTTGGGCATGAGTAAAATTGCCATTAGAGGTGGCAAATGGATTGGATTGGTGGATTGGTGGATCCATGGATTAAATGGATTGGATCAAGTGGATTGGTGGATTATCCATGAATCCAAATGACATCCTCAACCAAGGACCAATATGTAAAATGCAAAAAGTTTAGGTACTAAAATGTCATACTGAAAAAATTTAGGTACCAAAACGTAATTTTCCAATGATATTTTTCGTATAAAAAATTAAATTTTAGGTACCAAAATGTAAAAAATAAAAATTATAGGTACTAAACCGTAATTTGCCAATGATCCATGTATCCAATCCATGAATCCACCAATCCAATTGGATTTGGATAAAATGGATTGACTGGTGGATTGGATTAAAATTGCCACCTCTAATTGCCATCCCTAATTGTGTATCACTCGAACACAGGATTGTCATGACCAAGATGTTAGCGTCAAACTTGAAGAACGTTCACTAATTCGGTCGATCAAATTGGCGATAGGTAGATCAAAATTGTGTAGCCTCCCATGCGGTAGTTAAGAGAGGGCGCTTGGCATTCAAGTTTATATTGGAGATTAATATAAAAGGTTGATGGTCATAGCCATTAAGTCTAATTAGGTGTAAAGTGCATCTCAACCAAAGTTCATGTAAGTGGCCTATAAACTCATGTGTCTCAATATGTGTTAGAGAATCTCCTCACATTTTCAGCATCTAGTTGCAAATATTTTCTCTACCAATATTTGTGGACTTCTCCTAATAGCTTGTACATATGAATACTTTTAAAACCATGAGTTCGTACATACTCTATTTAAAAGAAGTCACGAGCATAATTCCCTCATCTAACTACCCATAATTATTAAAGTAAATGCTTATTGCCTCACCTGATACATCTCTCTAGGAACTTATGCATTGCCCTCACCAATCTTCCGGATTGATAGGCATACTACATTATTAACTATAGCTTCATATTCCAAACATATTCCAGAACCATCATATATAATTTGCAAGATCTCGAAAGAATATTTGAAATAAATGTTCATATAGGCATATTGAACAAATTAATCATTTTTTTTGTGTGTAAAACGGAGCGCATAAAGGGCGCTCCAACCTTTATTCATGAACTGCACGAGGGGTTTGAACCCCAATGACATCATAATACAACCAGTAGGCTAACGTACTATCCGGGTTATCAAAAACATGAAAACCAATTGGCCAAAGATGGCCTAAGGAAGCAAGATAATCTGCCACAACATTGGCTTCTCTGTAGACGTGCTTCATCTCAACTTGTCAGTCTTTACTTAACCAGCTTCTGATTTCCGCAACCGCAGTGTAGCGCGGATGATGGTGTGTTGCCTTCTCGATGATGCTCACAGCTGCTGCTGAGTCGGTTTGTAGAAGAACTTTCCTAGCTCTAGTTTCCCAGGTGAGTCTTAGAGAACCTCTCCCAAGATTCACCGCAAAAGCTTTGATAAACCGGCCATCGCCTCCCCTCACGATGCCGCCTGCAGCCGTGCTGGAAGGAGAGTGAGTAACAGATCCGTCCGTATTCATGCACGCCCAGTCGGGTGGTGGTGGCTGCCAGCTGATGTATCGAATATGTTGGTGTCCCCCATCACCAACGACGAAACTCTCAAAGGCAGTAGCGATCTGCTGCCGTAGCTGTAGAGAATGATATTGGATTTGGGTATAGGTCTGCAACTCCCCCTCGAAACATAAGCTATTCCTGTTCTTCCACAAAAGCCAACACGTGATCGCAAAAAGTGTAGCATCAATATTGGAGCTCCTACCTGTAATGTAGTAGTGGAGCCAGCGGTGCAGGTCAGGTTCAAAAAACTTCTCGTCCGGCTCGTCCATTAACAGCTCCACCCAGGTTGCTCTATCGAACGGGCAGTCTCTGAGCACATGGGTGATTGTTTCAGAATGTCCTCCGCAAATCTTACAAGTCGGGTTACTAGTGAGATGGCGACGATGTCTTTCCGCATTAGTAAGAAGACGCGGACGCGCCGCAAGCCACAAGAACGTTCGTACCCGATGCATTGAGGGTACTTTCCACAGGGCACGCCATATGGGATGGTGAAAATGCGGCTGGTCCTCGTCCTTAGTTAGTTCGTATGTTGATCTGAAGGTGAACTCGCCATTTTCCGAGAATCTCCAGCAACGCGAGTCATCTTCGCTTTCCTGCGGCACGGGATGCAGCTCCACCTGCAAAACAATATGCTGCGGTAAGTAGAAGTTCAAAAATTGAGAGTTCCACCTACAATTCAGCACGAAGTCAACGATGGGTCGGTCGAGCAAATCCGCCGAGAGATCAGGTGCAAAGGTAGCGAGGGGGTTCGCTATCTCCCAGCCATCTATCTCTCCAAAAAATTTCCTTTTGCCCATTTCGGACAGTCCAGGTCAAAGCTTCTTCAATTTTTCCCAGACCCGAATAACACCTCTCCACAGATTTGAGAGCCTTCCACTTCGACGAATTACTAGCTCCGAATCTGTCTCCCTCAAGGATTTGTAGCGGATTACTCTAGCCCACAGCTCGTTCGGACTTGTAATCAATCTCCAGGCTATCTTCATCATGTAGGCTTCGTTGCATCTCGTAGCATCTCGGAGCCCCAATCCACCCTCGTCTTTAGAATTGCAAATTGTATTTCAATTCACTAAGTGGACTTTGCGACCTGAATCTGAGCTCCCCCACACAAACGCCCTTACTTTCTTGTCAATGTACTCCCGTACGTTGGCCGGTAGGAAGGACGTCTGCATTGTGTATGTCGGGAGGGATGCTAGCACCAATTGAGCTAGCGTCACTCTCGCCGCCATACTCATGGTTGAAGCCTTCCACCCTGCAAGTCTAGCATCGATCTTGTCTATCAAAGCTGTATAAGTTGCCTTCGAAACTCTGTCATGGATCACCGGCACCCCTAAATACCGCCCAAGGTTTGACGTTCTCAGATCAAGCTCCTGGCTAAGAGTTACGGCTCTTGACTCCGTCACATTTTTGGATAAGTACACCCTGGATTTAGGCTTGCTTATTCTCTGTCCCGAGGCTGCACCAAAGGTTTCAAAGCACTGATTAATCGCCTGAACTTGCGCACTCGAGGCCTCACCAAACAGGATCAGGTCATCTGCAAAAAACAAATGCGACAGTTCTGGTCCGGCGTTGGCAAGCCTGATCGGCCTCCAATCACCATTACTGATAGACTCATTGATAATATGACTTAATCTTTCCATGCACAGAGTAAAAATGTAATGGGAAAGAGGGCATCCCTGTCTGAGTCCTCGTGATGGAGTAAACTCGCCTATCAGACATCTGTTCCATTGAATCTGCATTGTGGAGGTGGTGATGCAGGCCATAGTAATATCAATGAATCCTTGAGTGATCCCCGTAGCTTCCAAGGTTTGGCGTACGAAGTCCCACCGGATTCGATCGTATGCTTTGGCAAGATCGATTTTCAGTACCATCCAACCCTTTCTTCCCTGCTTAGCTCTCATTGAATGAATAACTTCCTGGAGAATGCAGATATTGTCCGTAATATGGCGCCCGGGGACAAAACTAGTTTGTGTCTCATGAACCAAATCGGGCATCAGGGGTTTCAATCTCTCAGCCAAACACTTCGTCAAGGCCTTGTATGCAACATTGCAGAGACTAATAGGCTGGAACTGGTCGATCTTTGATGGAGTCATCACTTTCGGAATGAGCACTAGGATAGTAGAGTTGATCTCTTTGATTTTTGCATGATCAATCCAGCAGTCCTGGGCCAAAGAGTGATGGATGCTCCCATCGTTGACCAACACTTTTGAAAAAAGAGTGGGTTTAGGCCATCCTTTCCCGGGGCCTTCAGCGCCCCCATTTGGCGGATAACCCCTTCCAACTCGGCGACAGTGGGGACTCCATCTAAACTGGCAAGACGAGCGATTACTAGCGATTCCGGCTTCATGCAGGCGAGTTGCAGCCTGCCCCTACTCGATTTGCATCCTGGATGAGCATCAAGACGGACCTGCTTCCATAGTGCAGGGTAGGCTGACAGCAGTGATTTGCTGCTTGCAGTGAGTGTCAGTGTGGATTCAATATCCCAAGCCCCATTCCCCAATTGATTAGTCATCAATTGGCAGGAAACTGTGTATCAAAGGCTCGACTTCGCCCCCCTCGTCTGTAAACAATCCCAAAAAATACTCCAACGCCATAGCTTGGAGTTAAGCCTCTTCTTCCACCCACTCGCCGACCTCATTCTTCAGGGAGAGAATGCGGTTCCTCTTCCTTCTCTGAATAGTGCGCCGATGAAAATACTTTGTGTTCTTGTCGGCAATCCACTCCAGCCTTGCTTTCTGACACCACAGCAACTCCTTTTGAAAAAGAATGAGTTCAAGTTGGTCTCGAACCTGGTCTTGTTGAGGAGAGCTGTTCAGACCCCCATCTCGCCTCTTCAAACGATCCAGTCTTCGGAGAAGGAACAAATTAATCATAATTAAACGTCCATGAATTTACATTTATTTTCCATTTGTTTCCTTAAAAAAAATTAATTGCTCATAATATCCTTTGATCAATTTGATTTCCAAACTGACAAAATTAATATACCTAGAACATATGTTAATCAAGCGCCTGTAGCTCAGTGGATAGAGCGTCTGTTTCCTAAGCAGAAGGTCGAAGGTTCGACCCCTTCCTGGCGCGTTTGTATTTTTATTTTTTCCTGCTTCTGTTTCCCAAAATGCTGTTGTCTTGGGCTCTTGGCAGCCCGCAGTTGAAATCATTGAAATGGACCTGGGCCTAATACTGTAACCAATTGTGCCTAAGATTTTGAACGTGATCCTAATCAATGCTTGTGCTGGGCTAACCCACCATTTGTTTCTCTTGTACATCTGACCAATAAGCCCGTAATTTCACCCATATTTAGGGTTGTCTCCAATTCAAGAGGTCAAATTTGGACAAAGGGATACTTCCATAAATGGTGAACGATTGGATGACTCTGGTTTGGACACGAATAGTGCTATAAACGAGTCGAGCTTTTGTTTAGATTGTTTTTTTAAGTTTTTGTTTAGATTGATGTTCGTTTATAAAATTTCTCAGCTCGACCTTGGCTCCAACACAAATTTTGATAATTCAGTTCGAGGTCAAGCTCGACTCGGTAGAGTTCAGTAAATGCTCATCAACACAGCTTGACAAACGGAGTACGAGCTCAGCTCAAAATGACCTCGATTTGAAATCATTATTGCTGAAAAATGTGTACACATAAGAGTTTAAATCATAAAAAGAACACTAGAAACTATAAATAACAGCTAACTTCCATACACATTCGTATTAACAAGATAATGTTGATATTCATAAGAGTAATTAATCTTTCCACAAGCTCTCTATAAGCTAACTCGCGAGCTTAGCTCAACAAGCCACCGAGTCAAGTTAACTCGCGAGCTTATCAAGTTGCGCATGGTCTAGCTCAAACTTAGCTCGTTTGCTAACGAGTCGGCTCGCGAGCCGGCTTGTTAAATAACAAGCTGAGCGTTGAAAGAGTTTTTTTCCGATTCGAACATCGAGTTGCTCGCGAGTGGCTTGACTCATTTGCAGCCCTAGTTACTACGATTCTAAGTTGAACAATTGTAGGCAACATATCAATTTCGGTGACATTTGAGTAAAACGTGTTAGAAGAACATATGCAAAACAAATAGTATGTAATATGGATTATGAAGAGATGACTCTTTGATATACGGAAGACATGAATCCTCAACGACCAAGGAAAATACATTATACACCAATTAGTTTGTTCACCATATATACTATTAAGTATTAAACCTATAAATGGGTAGTCATTAATCAATATGAAGTTGATGATGAATAATTTAATGTGCCCAACCCATCATAGTAAAAACATGAAGAGATTATCTGGTTCAGACTGCTATACTCTCAGAGTATGTGATAGTATACCCTAAACTCTAATTGAAGAATTTCATACCCTCATTTCGCTTAATCCAAAACCAATTGGGTAACTTTTTATGTATGTATGTTTACATCAAAAATAATTTTATTAAATAACGCATGTATTATTTATGGATATTTGGGTTGTTTTAAATAGCTCGATCCATGCATAACGAATAGTCCTAGTTGATGGGTTGGGTCATCTGTTTTGTGGATAGTAATCGGGCGTGAGATTTTCATCCAATGTACTTTGTTCCCATATAGCATCGATATCATCCACCTGCTAATTGGATTGTGTCATCTTATAACATAGTTATCATCGAACTCCTAAATGGATGATATTAGGGGTGGGAAACGGTTTGGTCCGGTTAAAACCGGACCGGATTAACCCGGTTTTTTGAAACCGTATTGAGCAAAGCTACAACCGGAAATTGGATTGGATGGACACCCGGTTTCAACCGTGACCGGACTGGGTTGGATCCGGTCCGATCCGGTTTCAACCAAAAAACTGGATATTTTCACTTCCACCAAACGCCACCGTTCTAATTCTTCTTCTCTCACAAAACCAAAAAACACACGCATCTGCAACCAACAAATTGCCAAATCTCTCTCTCTCTCCTTCTCTGTTTCTTTCCCTCTCACATTGTAAGTGTCGCCGATAGAGAGTTCTCTCCCACCGACGCAACCATCGCCACCATTCCCGAGTCTTCCTCGTCGTCGCAGTCACCATCCCCAAATCATCGTTGTCGTCGCCATCCCCTTTCACTTGTTCTTGCTTCATTGTTGTTGTTGCATGTTTCGATCTGGGCAAGATCGAGACGGAGGGTGCAGATCAAAGGTGGTCTCAAATCGGTTTGTGAGACTGAGAAGAGAGAGAGACCAGATTGGGTGCGATCTCACATCGTCGTCTCCATCGTTGTCGTTGTAGCCGTAACCATCGCCTAGAGCAGAGACCAGACCTCGACCGCTCTGCCAGAAGGGGGGATCGCGGTGCCGTCACGGAAGAAAGGGCGAGTCGGCGCGGCGGCTGCTTCGACGGTTGTGCGGCGATCGGCTGATCTGTTTCTTCTTCTAGAGCAGAGAGCAAAGAGAGAGATTGACAATGCGGCGGGGAGGTGGAGACTACGATGGAGATGGCCACATTAGGGTTTTACGGATGGGTATTTGGGCTTCTGGGTTGAGAGGGGTTGGGCTTCAGTAAAGGGCTGGGCTGGGAAGGGCCCGGTTTTCCGGTTATTTCCGGTTTTAACCGGGTTAAAACTGGTACAGTTTTTTCTCATATATAGGCAACCGGAATCCGGACCAGACCGGGTTGTATCCGGTTTTCGGTTGTAACCGGGACGGTTTAAACTGGCCGGTTTCCGGTTTGACCGGGAAACTGGAACCGGATTCCCAGCCCTAGATGATATCATCGTATAACATGGATACCATCCAACTCATTGTGTCATCTCATTCTATATGGGATCATCTTTGGTACCTGGCTGATGGTTGCCATGGCATGGCGTTGTGTCAATGTATCTGACGAAGAATACCGACGGAAGTAACAACCAACTCTCGAGGGGAGTGGAGATAGTGGATACTTCGTGGGAGCCACCTTCCAAAAAGGAGAGAGAGCGATTAGGAAGCTTTCCACTAGGGGTGTTCAAATGGTTACCATGGTTATA